TTGCTTACTATTTTTTCCAGTTCAATTTAGAAGGAAATTAAAGACAATAATAGCAGTCGCACTTTTGAATTTTGAATTTTGACCTTTTCTCATAAATTCCAAAGCCTATGATGCGCAAAACGATTATAAAATATTATTTTCAGGGTGTGTGGATGTTAGCCGTTTTTCGTGTAGATTGTGCAAAACTGTGTTTATCTAAACTGATTTCAAATATTCTTTTCGGAAGCGTAAAAGCACCAGGCCGCATGGAAGAAAAAAATATACAGTTTATATATAAATATACAAATAAATAATATATACAAAATATACAATATGCAAATAAATATGCAAATATGCAATATACATATGGAAGAAAAAATTTTTAAATCTCGGCATATTTCTCATTACTCTCTCACTCCTATCTTTTTGAATTACCGGCGCTGAACTGCCGTCTTTAACCTTTTTTCATTTATCATTTATCATTACTATCTCAACATCACCACACCTGCTCCTGTTTTTTATTTTGGATTTATGATTGTAGCTTTTAATTTTTGTAATTAGAATTGCAAAATTAGCATTGCAAGCACATTAATAACTTATAACTTAAACCAGAATTTTGAAATAGGATGATTATATTAAACTTAATTGTAAATTGTAAATTGTAATTTAAACTCAAACTAAATTGAATATTTTTGGTGCGTATCATTGTTAGAAATCTCACTTTTTTTTCATAAATACAGCTTTATTTTTTAGTGCATTCCCTGTAATGGAAGAAAATAGTACGAATGAAGAGATTGGCTGTAATTTTTCAGATGTAAGAGTTATATAAATCTATTAATATAAGATTATTCATTATTCATTGAGATTTCATTTTCAGATTATATATTTTGTTGAATGTGAAAGTCGTTATTCGTCAGTAACTGCATAAAAAATTGCCAATGAAAATTATGATTTGTATGAACTAAAATAGCTTGTAAAGTGCAACAATTAAGCGAAATTTATTAAGAAGCTTAAAAATTTTCAAAATTATCAAACGGAAGTATGTTGCAAACTCGATTATAGCTACAAATCAAAGGAAATTCTGTAAGAAATAAAAAATCCTTTCAGAAAATTCGTGGAAATTTTGGAATGTTGTAATTTCATATATTTCCAATAGCCATTTTACTATTGTCATCTGTTTTATTACCCTGTTTTTTAAGTTACTTTATCATTCCATCAGTTTTACTGTCTAACATGCCTTTTTTTAAAGAGAGTTTTCACCATTACTGCTTAAACCCGCTCCTCCGCTGACTTGCTGACTTGTCTCATTGGACAAATATGCCAGAGAGTTCTTTGGTAATAGAAATGCAGGTAAATCGCCAGCATCGCCCGGATTTTTGGACAGATTTAGACTCCTGTTGGGAATAAAACCTCAGTATCTGCGCTCTTAATTGAGCAACAACCCACTAAGCCATCCTATCCCTGATCTAATGCCATAAGATCAAACTAGATTTTTTATCGCTGGTATGATCTTGCTTTTTTCCTAAATATTTTCTCGATGTATATAAAGAAGAGCTTATCAAAAAAATTTTAAAAATTCATTCTTTCAGATCAAGGCCAATCGGAAGAGAAAAACTTAGAAAAAAACTTCGAAACCGTATTGAGACCCACAGACGAACAAAATTTTTAGCGTCCAAGCTTTTTTTGCAACGAAATATTTTTATCTTCAATAGCTTAAAAGTATTTTCATTATTTACCTAGCAATTTTTGGAAATCTCCAAGTCGATGAAGTTTTTTATAAATAATTTTGTTCCAGAAACTAATGCACTGAATAAAAATAAAAATAAAATTTTCATTTTTCTTTCATAAAAAGTTTGCTAAAAATTTCCACTGATTTCGAGTAAATCCAACATGCAAAAGTGTGTACAACTTTTCTAATGTCGGAGGAAATTCTAATTTTTTAGTTTGCGGTTCAAAAAAAGAATAAATCCAAGCTGGAAGAGAATAGCCCAAAAGAATAAATATTGTTGAGTTATTCGCAGAAAAAAATGCTAAAAATATGTTAAGGAAAAGTATCCAAGAGATAAAAAAATGATAAAAAAATATGAAATAAATATGAAAAGATACACTAAAAAGATAGAAAATATTACTGAAAGACCGACCCCCATTAATAATGAAATTGGAAGAATACAAAGCGAAATACATTTAACCGGTTTCACTAAAATTTCGAATTTTTCACGTTAAGATTCCTTCATAAATACGCGATCATTCATTGTCTGCAAAAAGCTTTCTATAATACATTGCCTCTACCTTATATTTTTATTTCGATTCAATTTTGCGCTTTTTATTTCTTTTATCAATTTTCGCAAAAGAATTTTAAATTGACTATTGAATTATCCGCTTGTTATAGGATATACATAGTTGAAAAGCCAATTTTATCACAGGACGAATAAATAAAATTAAAAAGCATTATTTATAAAAGTTAAAACTTTTTTGGTGGTCGCCAATAATTTCATGTATTTGTTCTGTTGCTTTTAACGGCATTTTTGTTTTGGCCAGTTCCATTGGTTATTAGGACGAAATATCCTGAACAGAGGGCTAGCTATTTGTTGCGCGTCCAGCACCACCCTAAGAACACTTTTAACGAAAGGTTTAATCTTGTTAAGATACGGAAAACCTATTGATTTTAGTCGAAGCAGTGCCACTTAACCATCATCTTCCTAAATATCACCTTTATAAACATAATCTAATCAAAATCGTCAGTAACTTCACAAAAAATTCGCTTTCCATCTTATTTATCTTTTAATAATCAATACTTAAGTTATTAAGAAAAGTTGTTAAGAAAAATCCTCTGTGAAAGAAAAATGCTCCAGAATAATATAAGAAATAAATTGAAATTTTAAGAATTTTATTCCAATGAATGTGTTAGTTGTGAGCAAAACCATACGAAAATAGCGTATATCCATCGATGATCAAACTATGGTCTCTTAAAGTAATTTCTCTTTTCGATGCGATTTTATTAAGTTTTTTTGCGACACAGCAGTTGCAACAAAAACGATTAGACTGAAAACTGGTACCGAAATAAGGCAGTTTTTTTAAATGGCCTACGCGTCATTTTCCCTTAGGGCTTTTCTTGCCATACATTTTTGACAAGTTTCCTTTCAGATTTCTTGCTTTCTCGCATAAATTACCTCACTTTTCTCGTAATTCTCACATTCTTATGTTTGAATTTTAAAATTTATAAGCATATTTTGAGTTATTCTGCTTATTTTCATGAATTTATCATTTAAAGAAAGCATTCGACCATGGTAAAAAAGTTTAAAATAAATTTAATATTTGCTTCAAATATAATTTGTGTTTAAAACAGATTTCCAGAAGCCTGTTTTCTTTCTCCTGATTTTGTTCCAATTTTGTAAATTTGAAAGGCATTAATTACAAATTGATCCCTATCAAATTTTGATGAAAATTTTAAGATAAGAGATTGCGAGACGAAACTACACAAGATTAATATGATTAAATATTTTATTTTTAATTAAAATAAATAATTTTTGTTAATTTTAGGGAGACAATTTATTTTATTTATTTATATAAATTATTTTGTTGCGCGATTAGGTTTATTTAATTCAAAAAAAATTAAAATAAACAGATTTCAAGTGAAATAATCAGAGATTTTAAAAAAATTTTATACCTTTTATAAAACACCTTTTTATAAAAAATTCTTCTGTGGGTAAAGGTGGAACGACTAAATATTTCTTTTAAAAAAATTCAAAGGAATCTAAATAGAATTTCTCTGAAAGGATTGTTGTAAGAAATTATTCACGAGCCTTTTTTATTTCATTTTCATATTTCTAAAAAATCTTTAAAGAAAATTACGGAAAAAGAAAATTCTATTTAACAAGGATGATGACAGGATGATATTGGTTTTCTTTGAATTTTCAAAAATTAGTAGAAAAATTTAGTTTTTTTTTCGTCAAATTATTAGAATTTTATCTTACATCAATGTAAATTTGCTAATTGATTTACATGGAAAAGAACTCGCATTTAATTAATGTTTTTTCTATTTTTCAAGGAAATTCTGAATTTTGCAGTTGTAAAAAAGCTTATGAAAAGCAAAAAGCAAATAAAGGTATTTTTGCAGAATGATTGAAGAATTTGCTTTCATAATATTACTCACATTTTTGGCTGTTTTCGCACAAAATGAAATTAGAGAATTCGAGGAACCTGGAGTAAGTACCTTTTTTTTCAAAAATATAACTAAATTTCAATCAAGAAAACTTGAAGAATAAACCCATTTACAGATATATTGAATTTACCTTTTTTTTTAAAAATTTCTCAACAGCTTATAACTGCTTAGACTGGCTAGTAATAAAAGCCATTCCTTTTTCTGTCGTCTAAGTCCATATATCGCCAGTCCACTTGTGCGTTCAACATCATTCTTGATTCCATATTTTATCAGTCCAGGTCTTGATTGGCCTTTCTCGCTTTTGAAGCCAACCGTCACAGGGTTTAGCAAGTAACGAAATATGCGTCAACTCCTATAGTGGACGACGGAGAACGTACCCTTACCAGCGAAGACGACGCTCTGCGATAATATTATTAATATAGGTGGTTGAGCGAAGATGGATACAATCATGTGCGATTTTATTCGCTAGACAAATCCGTAAAATATGCCTTAGACATGAGTGGTCAAAGGCTAATAGCTTCTTAATAACCACTCTCATTTGCCATGTTTCGTAGCCATATAACAAGATCGAGCGAATTGCAGCTATATGGGCGCAGAAAGTACAAAATATAGAAAAAAATGAATTGATATAACAAAACTTCTCCTTAAAAAAATTAAATTTACTTTTTAAATTAAATTTTCATAGTTTTATTGTCTCTATTTTGTTTAAATTATATATATATATATATCTGTTATGTACATCTATTAATAATTTATTTGTAATTTACTTTTTATTTTACTTTTAATTTTTTAAAAATTTAAAAAGATTTATTTTTAGTTTTTAGTTTAGTTTAAAAATAAAGATTTAAAAAGTGTATAATTTAAATTTACCTCCAATTCTGGTTTAGCAAACTTATTTGAAGAAAATGGTCTACGACAAGTAAAATTATTAAAATTGATCTTACAACTTGCTATTCATTTATTAATGAGATGGAATTATTATGATAGAGAAAATGCTGTTCCTGACTCATTATCTAATATTCAAGACAATCCATAGTTCGAAAACGTTAAATACTTCCAGAACTGTGGAAATCAAGTATCTGATTGGAAACCATGCATTGAGCGCAGAATAGCTGACCAAGTATTTGCAGCGTGTTGTGAGCGATTCGTACCTCCAGAATGCCGTGGATTATGTATATACGAAGGAAATCCAATTGAATCACGAGTTGCAGTAAGTATTCTTATTTATATAAGACGAAAATATTAAAATTACTTCATTATATGATTAAATTTTATTTTTAAATGGCATAAAACTTTAAAATTTTGACTGCATCACTTTTTGAGCTTAAAGTTTATCAATATATTAAAGTTTTTTTGCCACTATTTATGGCTTTCATATTTTCACTTAACGAATTGCTGTGCTCAGACAGGCCACTTAGATTACCATCTCGCGCATCATGGTTTTCCTTACTAAGTATAATTTTTATAAAAAAACTTGAGTTTTAGTATTTTTGAGAAACCGATTGTACTTCTCAAATGATTCTCAAATGATTTCTCACCCTATTATGATTAGTATAATAACCATATGATTTTCTTATTCTAATACCCAACAGAGAAAATCTAGCAACCGGAAAGATAATTGCCGTCTTGAAGTTAATTTCAGATTCCTGATTTCCACCGATTCCATACGCCACATACGTCGCGAATGAAGATGCTTAATTGACAGCTAGCAAAAATTTTATATTGAAAGAGATGTTTAAACGTTTAAAAAGTTTGAATTTATTTATTTTAATAAAAATTTATTTTATATTAAAAATTTCAGCTGATGCATGCTATTCAACCATCGCGTTGCCGTCTTTACAAATATTTAAGCTCTGTGGTGCACTGTGCAGCACAAACTCATGATAATACGGCATGTTGCAAAGATATGGGTGTCTCTGAAATTGGACCACAGTGTATTCAAATGTGTAGGCCACAGGTTGCTCTCCATTTAAATATTATAAACATTTATTAAAATTAATGTTGTTGTTAAAAGGTTCCATTATAGAAAAAAATTCGAAAATTAGGAGCGAATTTATTTAGGCTTCGGCTAAAAGGTATGTATAAATGCATCTGTGTGAAAAAAAGGTATGTGTATAAATGCATCTATATGAAAAAAAAATTATATTTAAAAATTAAAAATTATCTTTTGCAAATAATAATGAAAAATGAAAATCTTAAGGTATTTAGGGAAAGCCATATCGTTTTATTGATAAATAGCAACAACAAAAAAATTTTTTTTGTAGAAATTTTTGGTCAAAAACTAAAAACTAAACCGTTCAAAAATTAAACCAAAAAGATGCAGAATATTTTGGAGGCTTTAAATTGAATGCATTGATTCCCTTCTAAATGCCGATGTGTGTTTTTTTCAAATTTATTCAAAATTTGTACGAATATAAATATATATTTTTAAGCAAAACCCTCGTCAACGTTGGGGTTCACGTTCACTTCGAAGAGATTTTGTTGTTTGCCTCGCAAAATGGGACCAAATACTACGTTGTCATCAATCAGGTCTACGCGCGAGGAAGATTGCAAAAAAACCATCTAAATCATAAATTTTTGTAAACTGTACCATAAGTCAATATTTCAATTTCCCTTCAATAAAATGAGAAAAAATGAGAAAAATTGGAAAAAAACGAAATGAAAGTGAAAAATGATTAATTAAGAATTCCATTCTAAAAGATTATAAGTGGAAAAAAAATTTTTCGAAAAATTTTTTTATTTTTATTAACCATTTTACAAAATATTATTTTTTTAATATTAATATATTTTTGAATATAGATTTATTCGGATTATTTTTATTTGTTTTTTTTTTTATAATTTTGCAATTTGATTTCCATTTGCAAATTTTATTTTCTAAAAATTTTTTATATATCTAATAAATATTCTTATTTTTATTTGTTATTATTCGCTGTAAGTCGAAGTAAGAGAAAAAACGATGTCAAGTAAGTGTTTCAGATTTTATTCGTTGCTAAAACCTTGCTTATATAGTGTGTGAAGGTTGTACGCTAGGTTTTAGGAAAAAAAATCATGCTTTCCAAAAATCTACTACAAAAAGTTTAAATTTAAACCATCAACATGATAAAAACAACCTTATTGATTAAGGTAGATGTTTCATGAAGAAAAGTAATGCTGGGCAATATTTTTTGGCAAACTTTTCATTCAGCTGTTTTTATGATTTAATGAGAGAGAAACGGAAAAAAACGGAGTATTTTTTCATTCAGCTGTTTTTATGATTTAATGAGAGAGAAACGGAAAAAAACGGAGTATTTAACGGAGTATTTGCTAAATGAAATGATAAGATTGATAATTGAATTTGGTTCAGTTTCACTAGTAAGACAAATTTGAATGGTCAAAAATTTTATTCTTCTTGGATTTACTGAAAGTTCATTCCAGAGATCTTTAAACAAATAAAAATTCTCTATCGGTTGTTTTTATTAGTTTGCATATTTCACTGTGCTATTTCCGAACAAATGCTAGTCACTAATGTTTTTTAATATTAAATACGAATTAAATGCTTCATCACCAAAGGCTGCAAATGCGTATAGGGGAACCAGCGATATATGGACTTAGACGATGGAAAAAGGAATGGCTTCTATTACTATTAGCGATGGCAGCAGACCGGGCAGCTTGGAGACGTCTTACTCTTGAGCCACCCAAACCAGTAATGGTGAGAGTTGTTAAAAAAAGATGAAGAAAGACTGCGAATGCAAAATCCATTCGCATGCACTGTGGAACTCGGCGTTTGTCCGCCACTCTTCCAGACAATTTTACGACACAAATCGATATCGCTTTGTTTATAAAGCGCAACTGATATCTTAATTATAAGGCTTTTCATAACACTGGTGCAAACAAGTTCGTCTAAACAGCCAACCACGCAAGAAATATTAACATTTCTGCATATTGTTTCCGTAAGTCTCGCATTGCTTTCGCCGATCGCAGGGCATCTGAAGCAATCGCAATCATAACGAAGATTCAGCAGTGAACTTAGCGATATACTCTGATCCGGCAGAAACTGCGTGATAAATCATTTCCGCAACGATATTTTTGCTCTCTTAAAGAGAATATCTTATGAAAAACAAAGTTTTCCACGTTTTTTTGCATTTATATCCGGAAAATAAGATTTATTTAATCATAAAATTATTTACAAGAATCAACGCATAAAAAGAATCGAAAGAATGAAATTTGCAAATAAATTTCTTCGATAATAAATAATTTTGTATCAATTTAGTAATAAATAATTAATAATAAATAATAAAATTTAGTAATAAATAAATTTTATTGTAAATTAAATTTAAAAAAGTAAACTGGAAAAATTTAAAGTTATTTAAAATATATTTTGTTTTAAATATATTTTGCATAAATCGTTGAAGTTATTTGTAAAGCGTTAGGCTTTGAGAACACATTTTCTTCGAAATTTCATTGATGTGTGACGAGCAAAAATAAAAATATTTTTATTCTCGTTATTTTGATGAATTGTCAGTTCCTATTTTTTAAAAATTGCCCCCGCAACTCGCATTTTTTGTTCGGCTGGTTTATTTGGTTGCTAAGAAAAACATCTTAGCACCACACGGTGTTCAAGACTTACCTATATTTCCATTTATCACCACGCGACTTCTTTGGCAAACGTGTTCTTTTCTCAGTGTTCAGAGAGGGCAACTAAATCAGGCAAGAAGCAAAAAACGGACCCTTTCGTTGGTCAATTAGAGGTTTAGTTGAAACCTCAAATTTTTTCTGGAAAACGGAAAATCAATTATCAAAATGGCCAAATTATCGATTAAAAATTTTTACAGTTTTCCTTCAAGTTTTTGCTCATTTTGAATTTATCAAGCAATCGATTAAAATCAAAGGAAATTTTTTTGAATAAATAATATTCTTTTAATTTTTTCAAATTATTTATTTTGAAATGCATTTAACAATAATAAATTGTTATATAATATTTTATTGATAAGCTTTGCGATAAATTAAGATCAATAAGCTGATAAACACCAATGATAAGTGGTAATCAACTCGCAATGAAATGTTAATAAACAAATATAAAGAAGTGATACGTTAATAAGATCTAATGACAATGTGATGATGGGCCAGTGATACAGTTTAGTGATAAACCACTGATGAAGCAGTGATAAGCCACTGGTGAACCAATGAGACGTAAAAAATATAAATGTTGCAAGCATCAACTTCACAAATTATCGCTTGCGTCGCGTTTTTCAGTTTATAACTGCGCCATACTTTGGTCATTTTTTTCGCTCTTATCATTATTATTTTCTATTATTATTATTTTTGCCAATATCGTAATTATTATTTTTATTATTAGTGTTATTATTATCACTGTTTTATCGCAAAGGTCAGTTGAATTTTATAATATAATAAATAAATATGCATCAATAAATATGAACAGTGGAAAATTAAAATTTCTAATTTTAAAAGGCGAAGAAAGCTAATGAAAAAATAGTTAATTCTTTTTTTAACTGAGAATTGAATATCGAAAATATTTTGAAAATTAATTTTCGACAATTTTTTTATTTTTAAAAAAATTTTTATTAAAACTTTTCAAAAATTTACGAATTTTAAGTTTTAAATTTTGCAATTTATAAATTTATTTCAGATAAAAAATGTAAAATAAATGACTTTGCGAACTTTTTTAAATGAATTTTTTATCCAACAAAAGAAAAAGAAATATGAAAAGAAAAATAAAAATTAAACGCGAAATAGAAATTGATTTCACAATTTTTGAAGCTTTTTTTTACCGAAATTTTTTATGAAATCAAAATTAAATTCGAATATTTTTGAATTACCAAGTCATTTTTAAAAAAAACTTCTATGAATTAGAATTTCTGCCTGAAGAAATGTTTGCTAATCTTCGGTTACTCATCGTGGAGAGCAGCGATGTTCACTGATTAGTTGAAAATAATTGATGGAGTGAAAACGGATGTGACTGAGGATTATTACTGATAAAATGATAAGTGCAGGATGATTAGAGTAAATTACCGAGAATCGCGAACAGAAGGTAATACCGCAGCAATAAAAGAGGAATTGAGGAAAATATGGCTTTTGCCGATTCACCGAAAAGTACCAACAATCTGTTATCTTTGTTTTCTTTTGCACTGATAAAAAGTTCTTTTCCAGAAATGAACGAATGGATATCACCTGTTGTGATGAATAAAACCAATAATCGTATGAAAAAAGCTGATATTGCTGATTGGATTTCAAATTCATTTAAAGTTTTTTTTAAAATAAATTATCAAATAATAAAATAATAAATATTAAATTATCAACTTTTTATTTTTAAATGAAAGTAAAGACTGTTAATATATGAAAATAAGTAGAAAAAAATTTTTTTAACGAGAATTTGGTTGTTCAAGAACCAAAATTATGTGTCTTCAGATGCAAGTTAATCGAGTTATAAGATATATAACAGTGCTTCTTGAATCCACATTTTCGTTAAAAAGTGTATTTTCATTCTGGTACTTGCTGGTTATTTGATATCGTATCGATATTACCTACGGACAAGAGGCCCAAAAAGAGGAATATTTTGGCTGGGGTCACGCTATCGTACACTTGTTTCTTATCCTTGACGATAGTAAGCTTGTCACTAAAAGAGAAATTCTGGTGGTACTAAATGCCACATTTATTTCAATATGACTTGTTAGTGGAGAAATTTCATGCAAATAACCCGTGCAGCCAGCCAAGTCAGGAATGGTGAGTGTTATGTAATAAGATTCATCATACTGACAATGATTCCACATAATTTCTCATAATTCTGCCACCATAATTCTCGTTCTATATATAATTAAAGATGAGGAGAAAGATGAAAGAAAAAAAACCAAAAAAAAGGTGCTTCGGTCGACGGTATATTTGTGGAAACGGTAATTCTTTTTCAAATTTCACCAAAAATATTTGTTTACTTGTTTAATATATTAGTTATATTTTTAAAGGCAAATAATTCGGATCAAACTAATAGAATTTTGCGTTTTCAAGAAAATAATTCAAATTTACCTGAAACAAAAACATTTGGTAAATTTTATTAATTTATTTCTAGAAGCATTTTAATTTTTTCATCTTTTTAGTGGCTTTTTTCCGCGAAAATTTGAAAAATAATTAGAAAATTTAGGACCAATAAATTATTTGGAATGTTATATCAGTGCTTTCCTTTTTTTTTCCAGTTTTTTCTTCTTTTATTCTTTATTGTTTATTACTGAAGAAGGTGCATTTACACCTATTCATTTGTACTGTTTTTTTATATTTTTATTAATTTTAGATGATTCATCTTCAACAATATCATCTTCAACTTTGCTCCCTGAAGCACCGGACGGTGGCTATGGTTGGATTATTGTTATCGCTTCATTTTTGATTAATTTCATTGGTGATGGTTGGTTTTTTTGCAGCATTTTTCTTGTTTGCAAAATGAAGCGATAACAATAGCGATAATATATTTTAGGAAAAAATTAGTGCAATAAAATTTTGTAAATTTTAGAAAAATTTGCGAATAATTTTTCAGGTGTTTCCAATTCATTTGGCGTTATTTTTCCTGCGATTCAAGATTATTTTGAAGCTTCTAAAACGTTATCCGGTATTGTTGCTTCTTTGTTCCTCTCAGTTCCTTTACTTTGCGGTCCATTTGCAGGTGCATTAACTGATATTTATGATTGTCGGTATGTTTTGTTCTTTTCTGCATTAAAAAAATAGCTCGTAAATTTCTATCAGATAAATTTTTGAAATCTATTTATTTTTTATCGGCATTTTTTACCTTTTGGTATCTACGATATTTTATTTCTATTTCTTTTTTCCAAATTTTCGGAAGAATGAGCCCAAAAAATCATTGCAATTTACTTCGAAATATATTGATTTAATAAAATTTAGAAAATTGAAATAATCATCTAGCTGAATTTTCAAAAAATATTCCTTATGATTTTCCATTTTATTTTTTTGTCTTCTTATTATTTTTTTGTTTTTGTTTATTTTGTTTATTTTTTTTAGGCCAACATTCGGATTAATAAAACTTGAGTCAACTTGAGTCGTTCATTTTCATTTGTTTCTTAAATTACCATGAGATTTTTTTGTTTTTTTTTTGCATTATGTTGTTATTTTCAGCCGTATGACAATAATTGGTGGTTTTATTGCTGCTGCGGGTTCACTTCTTTCGTTTTTCGCCTCAAATATATGGATTTTTTCATTCACATTCGCTATAGTAACTGCTATTGGTCTCAGTTTTTGTTTCAATACCGCAATAGTTTCAGTCACTTTTTATTTTCAGGTTTTTTTAAATTAAATCTTATTTTTATAAACATTCTTATATGGCTATAAACGTAGATTCACTTGGTTACAGGTTGTTACTTTTGGAAATATGGGTTATTATCCTAGCACCAATCCTGGAAATTTGAAAACAAATCTTTTCGCTTGTTAAGATCTACATAATCTGCATAAAAGATTAATTGGAATATTGTCCGAAATAATGATACAAAATTTACTGAAGTTATACATTAACTTCTTTTTTTTACTCGTATTTTTTAATATCAATTTTAGACATAAATTTAAAAAATATAAATTTAGAATTAAAATTTATGCCATTTTATGCTTAAAAATATTCATATGGCCATCTATTCATATCAAATTTGTTTCGATTATTAAATAAAATTCCTTTCTTTTATAGAAAAAGCGTGCATTGGCCACTAGCCTAGCTGTTACTGGATCAGGAATTGGAACTGTGGTGCTGGCACCAGTTATTGAGACGGTATTTTTCGTGTATATTTTAAAAAATTATGTGAAATCAGCGGTTTTCTTTGGATTTTTGTATTGGTTGCGTATTCAATATTTTTTTTTATTTTTTGGTGAATTACTAGCTAAAATTGTTTAATATATATATTTTTTATAACTTATATAAATTATTCTTGATTTATTTTGTTTTATTTGTGAATTATTTTTTAATTTCTAATAACATTTCGGCCAAGTTTTCTTAAATTTTTGAATTTTTTTCAAACAAAAATTGGAAATAAATATAAAAAATACAAAATATATTTTGTATATATATATATATATATTTATAAAACAATTTTGTTTTTTTCTAGTTTATTTTTCATCCTTTCTTAATTTTCTTTCTTTGTCTTTTACAGGTGTAAACCTGATAATAAAATTGGGTGGTTGCTGGAACCCATCTGTAATTATATCCCTAAATGACTATGGTGAAAGGATCAAATCTTTTTGACACAGCATTCGACGCCCATACCATCTTTACTATCAGCCCGGTGGTATATGCGATAAGTATGCAATCCGGCATAGTAAAATGATCTCGAACTTTGAGGATAAAATGTACTTGCAAACCAGACTAATTTCTCGAAACAGTCAAAGGAAAAACGGCGCAATATTGCTCGCGGCGTGGTGTTAACTGTAGCAGCGTAGAGTGTCAGAATGCTTATGGACGTCGCAAGCCAAGCAATCCACACTAAATCACATTATAGTATGCATGTCGCCTATTTGTTGAAGGTCCATCTTCCGCATTTCGAGTCTCGTAACCAAACTGACTCCGAGCATAGATACTGGCTATATCATTGTGATATTTCGGATGACTTGGGGCGAAATGCCGTAACGATTGTCATGTTTGGAAAAACTCGTTCTGTTCTGGTTGAGTGGAAGTCTCATGACCTATGCTGGCTTCAAAGGAAAGTTCTGCAATATTGCGGTGATCAGTGTAAATGCTCCAACTTTAAGCGATAAGGATAACTTCTTGGATGCAAAGCTTCAACGTCTAACAACATTTCTACCGAAAAGTGATATGGTCATAATCGGAGAAGACTGGAATGCGCATGCCGCCACGATGTAATCGGTAATTGACAAATATGGAATGCGATGCGCCAATGGAGAACGCCTTCTTCGCTTTGTCGAATAGCTTGAGTTCTTTATTACTAAAATATGCTTCCAGCATTGGAGAAGACCGGATAACCAACATTCCAACAATAAGTGTATTTCAAACCGAATTATTGAAGCACCTCAGTGAAATGAACATCAGTGATATCTCTGGAATGGTAGATGAATATTAGTCTCATCCAAAGAATCTTAACCATTTCCACATTAGGCTAATAAGAAAGGCACTAGTTTGGTGCCAAAGCAGAAGTGTCAGGAGATCCTAATGCCTGTCTGATGCTTCGAAGAATTACAACAACAGCAGCACGAGTGGACAGGTGGACAAAAATAGTTATTGGAAATATATTGCATTGAGAATGGAGATAACGGCTTAGGCGATAATGGAAATTATTCCGCCTTCTTGACTATAATTCAAAGTACGATTAGTGAAATAGTAAGGGATAGTAATGTTCTGTGCCTATTAAGAGTATTAAAGATCGCCTCAGATGGAAGGAATTCTTTGAGACCAAACGTAACCATGATGCTCCATCTATTGGCCAATTGTCAATAAAATGCAAATATTAATAAAACAAAATGCAAATAGTTAATTTTAAAGTAAAGTATTTATTTTAAAGTAAATTTCTAGTAATTCCCTATAGCTGATGCGTTCGTCACACTATACGTTTGCAATTGCAAACCGTCAACAGAAGAAGTAATAATCTCCGTTATCCGTAAACATAAGGCCAGTAAGACTACAGGAGAAGATGGTCTTCTGGCTGAATTCTTCTAACTTGTTCATCGCTCTTCGTAATGCACTTTCAACAAATGTACTTTCTGGTATATTACCAGATGACTGGAGTAAAGCAATTCTGCTCTCAATTTCCAAGAAAAATGACAGGTTATACTGCCACAGTTGTCGAGGAATCAGCCTACTAGACCTCTCAGCGAGAATTTTTGCTTTCCTTTTATTCAACAGACTTATGGAAGTACGGGAGAGCAGGATGCGCCCTAATCAAGATGGTTTCAGACCGGGGCGCTTGTGCTGACCAGATATTCACGTTTGAGAAGGGTGTTGGAACATCGCTTCAGATATTTGCAACCCACTGTCACATTCACTTTGCGTCTGCCTTCGATTCAATTTAAAAAATGGCGCATTGGAGAATGATGGAATGCAACGATGTTCCAGAGAGAATCATTAGACTCACAAAGGTATTTTATGAGTGCATGTCGGCGCAGGGTGTGTATATGCGGAACTGACAGATTCCTTCGAAATAAGAACAGGTGTCCGTAAGGGCTGCGTCCTTTCCCCCACAATATTCAACTATGCGATAGACTGGATAATGGATACTGCTTGTCGGCATTCAAGAGGTGTCCGAATTAGTCCAGAGTATCGTATCACAGATCTTGAATACGCTGATGATGTAGTCCTTTTTGCTGACAGTTATAACGAAATGCAAGCAATACTAAATAGCGTGTCAGAAACTGGAGCAAGAATCGGACTCAGGATCAGTGTAAATAAAACGAAAGTCTTTTCGTCTTATGTGAAAGGCTGATAAAATGCCTCTTTTTATAAACTCGTTTTCGGTTGAGAAAGTGCGACATTTTAAATATCTCAGATCCCAAATGGCCAAACGAAAGACGAAATTACAACCTGCATACTAGAAACTAGAAATGCTTTCTTTCGGTTGATCAAACTTTTATGGCGCGAAATCACTATAAAACACTTGCGTATATAATATAGTCTTTCAATTCGCTCGATCTGTATACTATACGGGTGCGAGATATAGCCAATGAGAGAGGAGGATATTAAGAAGGTATTTGCCTTTGACCATTAATATCTTAGATACATTTTACGGCTCCGCCAAGCGCATAAAATTGCACTTGATTGTACAGTGCAACCACCCTCGTTCAAATACCACTTGCATCAGCAGTACCATCATAGAATGTCGTCTTCGCTGGTTAGAGCACCTTCTTCATTGCCCACCATAGGAATTGGCACTTATTCCGTTACTTGCTAAACTTTGTGACAGTTGGCGTCAAAAGCGAGGTGGTCCAATCAAGACCTGACACAGGAAAGATTTTTTGAATGTGGACCAGCGATATATGGACTTAGGCGATGGAGCGAATAGCTTGGAGATGTCTTAACCTTGTAGCCATCGGAGCTAATCAAACCAATAATTGTGAGAGCTTATATTGTTAAAAGAAGAAGAATTACTTCCTAGCAGAAAATTTCTTAAAGGTTTTAGCTTCAACAATATAAACTAAAATAAGAAATTTTTTCATATGAAACGATTCTACATGAAGCAAACGATGGTTTATTGCTAATAAATTATGAATTTTTATTTTTATAGGTTTTAAATGGTTACGGGTGGCGGACGAATTTATTATGTATTGGTTTTCTATTTTTCCTGTTAGTCATTTGTGGATTATTGATCAAGGTAAAATAAATTTTAAATATTGCAAATAAATTGCAAAGTGTCTCACACCGAAAAATGGAAAATATGGAGAAAAAGAATTAAAAATGAGAAATAAATTGAAATTGAAATGAAATTGTTTTTTATTGTTATTACCGTTTAGATTGCAGGATCTAGAATGGCCTCAGGATACACTCGAATATAAACGAAGGAAGTTTATTGAAAAAGCAGATCGGAGAAGATCACGGATTTGTCGAAGTATTGGTGAAGAATCCAGTATTATTAATGTTTGTTATCTTTTCATATTAAATGGCGAAATGATAGTGCTTCTCAAAAAAAACAATGCAGAATTTCGTTTAGCTATTTTGGAAACCCTTTATTCAAGCTTATTTAAAAAAAATATTTAAAACTTGAGTTTTTCTATTTTCGAAGTTGTTTCAGTTTGATTTTGATTCCAGTAGAACAGCTCTGTTGCGAAATGCTATATCACTGCCCGACTTTCGTGAGAATACTTGTTTTTTTGACATCAATTCTTCGTCAATAGATTTTGTCAGTTTTCTAATTTTCTTAAGAATTTTGTTAAGAAAAATTTTATTGGTGACTTAATTATTGAAGTCTGAATGTTTACTGACCTTTTGTTTACTTGTTGCTATACTGGACTAGTAATTGTTATAATTATAATATAAAAATTATAGGTATATGAAAATCAGCTTTGAAGTGAATTTTTTGGAAATTTTTTTTAGATATATAGAAGTAAATTCGCATTTCACACTAGTCCACATCGAAGCAAAAGCGTTGGCGAATTTCTTCGAGCTAGAAATAACAGAAAAGATAGGATGAAAACAAATAATGATGAGCTAGAAATGAAGATGGAAGATGAATTGGCTCATCTGGATTTACAGGTCCATGCTTTTGAACTAATTTTTCTTGTTGTATGGTTTTTCAAATATGCTCTCCATTTTTCATTCGTGCGTAGAACTATATTCTTTTCATCTATGGATATTTATGGCGTTCAAACTTCTAAATCAATTTTACAGATTTCGCAGAAAGATGATCGAAAAAAATTGAAAGTCAAATGCAGTCCTGCATTTTCTACATATTCGCTAAGTTATATTAACGATATTTCTGCTGAAAGTGCTATTATTAAGTATTATATTTTTAATTTTTCTGCATCTTAATGAAATTTTTCATGCTGCTTTTTTTTTATTTATTTGGTCTTAAAGGAAGACTTAGCTATTAAGCATCAAAATGTACTAACTTCCTTGTTTCGACATGCCAATGTTATTCATTGATTTTCGCTATATGCTTTGCTTTCCTTTCCCTTATGCATGCCTAATGTAATTGCAATTATATAATGTTAATTTTATTATAGTGGGACTTTCTGTAGAAAAAAATCGTCAAATTATAAGTCGGAATCAATTTTGTCAACCAATGGTGATGAGTCAGAAACACGTATGGAACTTTTGGACGAGATAACTGAAGTTAATAAAATTTTATAAACAAATAAATGAAAATAAAAATAAATTAATAAATAAGGTGTAAGATTGAAATTTCTAATTCTTTGAATATCCTTCAGCACCTTTTTAAATGGAGAAAATTTTTTTAGCAGCTAGCAGCAGCCATCACTCCATCAGCAACTAAGGTAAAACGTTTCCAAGCTTCTCGATCGGATGCTATACTGAAATGCATTGTGCTTAAAGCCTTCTCTGACCATATTAATCTAAGTTTTGATTGGTCATTCTCGTTTTTGACGACATCCGTCATAGGGTCTAGCTTGATATATGTCAATTCCTGTGATGGATGGCGAAGAACATATCCAACCATTCAACCGTCGCAGACTTATGACGATATTTTTAATGCAGATATTTAATAATATTCTGGCGAATGTGGGCTCATGTGAGACTTCAGCTTGACGAGTATGAAATGTGTACCTTAGACAGGAATGTTCAAAATAGATTCTCGAAAAATTCCTCTCATTGTTTTTTTGTAGTCATAGTGAAAATGTTTGTACTAAATGCGAACTTTTGTTTTGAGGCTAATTTCTCCAGAAATACTTTTCGAAAGAAAATACCTCTGCAGTCTGGGGCGAAATTTCTACCATCTGGAATTAATTATGAGAATGAATCCGGGAAAATTTCGCTTCTTTGTTGATGAATTTATTGTGATCTTATCAGCTGTATATTCTTTTCGTGAATTCGACCATTGATTTTAAGGCCATTTTTTTATTGCTTTTTTCGTCACTTAGGTTAATGTCTGTTTAGTTCGTAATACTCTGAACTAATTTGCACATCTCTTGAGTTTTGGCAAGTGGTGTCCATGCCCAATCTATCGCATAGTCACAAATTGTATGGGAGAGAACCTTAGCACATACCGGTTCATATTTCGGAAAGTCTTGTCAATTTCCCATGCATGCACTGATGAAAATTATTTGATAATTTTATTTAAAAAATATTTAATAATTTATTTAATAATTTATGATTTGTTTTAGAATATAGAAACAAAACAAAATAGGCATAATATGCAGTTTCATACATCATATATTGAAAAGCGCGGTGAACGAAATCTGTACAAATTGGCGAATTACAAAGGTTTTCTATTTTTACTTTTTCTAATTTTTGGCGTATTTTTTTTAGAACACTCTCTGAAATTTGTCTTAAGTTTTAAATTCTTTCACTTATTTAGCACTAAAAAAATTCAAGAACCATTTCGCAAGAACCATATCTCGTGGCTTATTTAGGAGTATCTTTTTATGTAAAATTTTCAATCTTTTAAAAAACTAGAATTTAGGCGCGGAATCTGGCGTACTTCCCGTTGGTATTCGAGTTGGTCGGCTGGCAAGCATGGTGGGACCAGGTGCAACAGGTCAAAATCGCATTTATGCTGACTCCATTTTTTTTTCTATGAAATTCGAACCATTTGCAAATGGAATGAATAGGCGCGTTCCTTCAGCACCAGCGATCTTTATTCGTAGGAAACGCAAATTTCATGCTCTTCAGCTTATTAGAGTAATTTTTAATTTTTACCTTTCTAATGATAGGGAGTGGTTGTCTAATATTTCTTCGTCAAAATTCCCAAAATGATTCTCAATCTCTTAAAATTATAGTTGTAAATTTGCTTTCAGATCAAAGAATCTATTATTGATTGGATATCAGGTTTTAAATCATTAGTAATCGTACCTACTTTCTTTACATTTCTAGTCAGTACTTTTATTTCGTCGGTATTTTTTGATATGCCATATGTTAATTTTCCTGAATACGCTGTTAAAAAACATAACGCATCAGAAGCAATCTCATCTTATTTAGTTTCCAGTATTGGAATCACAAATATGATTAGCACTATCGCTTGCGGCTTAATAGCTGATTGGAAATTTATAAAACCGGTATTTATTTATTTTTTCATTTTCATCGTTTGATGGCCGTTAAATTGAAGGTGGAGGCCATATTTTTGCAGATTGTAACATATTTTAAAAAATTTGTTGTTTTTGTCATTTTTTATATTCATTTATTTTTGATCTACTATTTTTCAAAACGAAGATCTGCGTCTATATAGCTATCGATATTTTTATATGGCTGTGAGATATGGCCAATGAGAGTGGAGGATATTGAGAAGTCCTTCCACAGTTCATATCTAAGATACATATTACGGGTTCACCAATCGGATAAAATCTAATCTAATCATGTATCTACCTTTGCACAAATACCATTAACAATACCATCATAGTGTGTCGCTTTCGCTGGTTAGGATACGTTCTTCGACACAGGACTTGGCATATTTCATATTCAATCCCTTTGGTCAAAAACAAGAAGGGCTAATCAATCTGGACTGATACAGTAGGAAACATTTTGAACGTTTAGGAGGACCAGCGATATATTTATCAACTTAGGCGATGGAAGAAAGAATGGTTTCTATTACTATCAGTGATAGCATAGGATCGAAGAGCTTGGAAACGTAACCTTGTAGCCAGCAGAGCTTTTAGAAGTTGGTGGTCTTTTGTTTTTAATGTTTCATATTAAGCTGATTAAGTGCAATTCATTTTTCAGTGTGTTACAACTTTTTATGGTATTTTCGTTTTACTTGCTGGATTTTGCGTAGCTGTAGCACCTTTCGCTCAAAATTATACTCAATTATTATTGTTATGTAGTGGATTTGGAGTATTTATCAGCGCAAATCATGCATTATCATCGGTAATTACCGTAAATCTGCTTTGTTTATATGATTTTCAAACAGGATTTGGGATATTGAGTTTGGTTGAAGGTATTGGTAGCTTAATTGGTCCTGCTCTCGTTGGTATGTTTAAATTTTGATGTCTTAATTCAGTTCAAAGCTTTGAGACCCAGATCTTTTTTTGATTTCAACATTAATTGCTTTTTTTGCTCTTCAGGTTTTATATATGATTCAGTTAGTACTTATGATAATATTTTTTTAATCGGCGGTATTGCCACTATGTTTTCTGGTTTATTGGTATTATTGATCGACATATATCTGAAATTACATTCCAATGATGATGGCTTTGATGGCAGTGATGAAAATTGAACGAATCGTTAGTCCCACGTTTATTCCGTTTATTCCTTCTTTTCTTACAATTATTTTTTTGTAAATAAGTCTGTCCAAGCGTCAAAAAGAAAACTACAAATATTAGAGCCAGGTTTAATTGACTTAAGGAATTTTTTAATGTGTCTAATTATTTTTCAGTGATGTTTAGTGATGACGAAAAAGCAGTTTCTGTACAGTTCAAATCCATGCTTTAAAAAAGATGTATTGTTTAATGTATAAATTGCGACATTTACTAAAAAAATTGGAAATTCTATTGGATCACTTTTAATGTAGTTCTATTTCCAAAGAAGGAAAAGGATTAAACTTGGCTGAACTCAAATTTTTCTTATTTCCAAATATGATGTTTTCATTCACTTGCTTATGCATTCAAAAAACGTGTGACTTTTTATAAATTATTTATTTAAAATAACGACTTAATGGAAATTTTTTTTACGAATGGTCAAACATATAGAGAAATTTTTTTAGTAAAGCATAATTACAAAGAGAAAAAAGAGAAAAGGTAAATTCAAATAATTGATGGCGTTGATCGCAAGAATAAATTGTTCGTATTGTGGCCATTTGTTTTTCGTCTGAATTTTTAGATTTATTTTATCAAACAGTTCGCATCTTCGAGAGAATCGTTATAAGGGATAGGGCAATATATTTAAAAATGTAATAATATTTAAATATTATGTTAGTCATTATCCAGTTTAGAAAAACTATTTGAAAATTCGTTACATCTGTTTTAAATTTGAAAAAATCGACAAATCATTAATAAGTACAATTGAATATACAGTTTAACGAAATTAAAAGTAAATTTTTCTAAATTTAATCAAATTTTAAAGAATATTTGATGGTGATATTTTTAATAAAATTCAAATTCAACATAAGTTTTCAAAAAGCATTAAAATAATTGCTCATTGATAATTTCATTCTTCTCTTTCAATTTATTTTGACTCGAAGATAAAACCTAACAGAAAAATTTGGATTTCACTGGTGGAACAATTTTTATTTTCAAATAAATAATCTTAATTTTGTAAAAATTTGTTATCTTCTCGATTAAGTTTTATGACAGCACTTTTTATCGAAACCTTGTGGACAACTGAAGCTTTTCGCTAAAACCTGCAACTTATATAGGTTTATATAAGTCAGAATTGCTCTAAATTATTATTATTATTATTATGCTACATTTTCTGTTCGTATTTACCATTCTTGTGTATTATTTTTCGCAAAGAAAAATTTGTTTAGTTGAAGAAGTGATTTTTACCATGAAAATGTAGCATGAAAATTTAATTCTTAAATTCTTAAACTATAGCCTACAAAAGAAATATCTAGGCTAGTATTATTTTCCTATTCGAGTTTCTGATAGTAATGCGAAGCTTTGTTAAAAAGACCATAAACAGAGAAATGATTAAAAATGCTATAAATACCTCGTTGACATAAGAGACGTCAGATTTCTCAGTACAACACTGCAATAAAGCAATAGCTTGGTCGCGAAGTTGATTTAACCTAAATGGCTTATAACTATAATTCATCTACATATTATATAAATGAATGATCGAGAGGGCAGCCATCTTTACAAATTATTTTGCGAACAGTAAAAAATTCCAGAATACTTTCTTTACCCACCCTATCGAGTATTTTCTGAGTTCCTTGCACAACTAATATAACAATCTCTGCCAATGTACCAGCAAATCTGCTTAAGGAAGAAGCCAAGAAGCTCAATGATAAATCATAAGCCAAGTCGTGGATAGCGTGGCAGTTCTTTTTTTTTCTTTCTACGAGTATAAGCTTGTACTCATATTTTACCTTATATTTTACCTTATAATCTTTCGCAGTTTGCTGGCATTATATTGTCTTTATGCTTTTCTATTTTTCGATTATTTATTACTATGGAATATATTAATACCAGTGGTGAAATTTCAAAAAATTTTAAGGAACGTGAAATTCAGAGAAAAAATCTCTATAAGTTTAATTAATTTTATTTGCTTTTCCGAATAAAAATTTCCGATCACTGCTGAAAGAAATTGTGCCGGAATAAAAATCAATTATAACTAAGATATGTTTTCAGAACAAATGTTGATATTTAAAGGAAATTGAGTTACCTGAAATATTCAGCCTCCTGAGTAAGTAAAGCCAAACGATCAGGGTCTTTGGGCAAGCATGCTTCCCATAGTTGGCCAGCAGTTTTTAATCTTAGATAATTCAGTATGATTGTAAAACTGAAAAATAGTGGGTTAAAATGATAAATTATTTTTTGCACTCTCAGTAAGTTTATTACGATCATTTTTCGTATTCTTTGCACTTAATATCAGATTTTTTTTTCAATCTTCCACCCAATAAATTATTAACAAACTTGATTTATTAACTTATTAAATTAAATTATTTTATGCACTGAAAACAACTTTAAAGGAACCAACCTGGATGGATCTCTATCAATAAAATAAATGCCGCTGTCATCGACTGGAAGTGGTACAGTGGAACGTTCGATGAACCACTGAACAAAAGTAGGAATTTTTAAGTTTTTAAATTAACACAGGTCAAAATGTGAAAATGTGAAAAGAAAGGAAAATGATAACTGATTCTGATTTAGCTGATATGTTTTTTTCAAAAATGGAAAATGCAAATATTAGTGGCTAATTCCACTAACATCCAATCCCAAGCTCCTCTGGTCGTATTGGTGAGAATTTTTTGCCAAGGAATCATTTGACGATAGAAGTGCAGGTAGGTAACCAGCATCATCCGGACTGATTTAATGATTTACCTTGTCTCTCAACATGGTAATCACGGCAAACCACTAGCCACTTATCATGCTCTTCATCATTATCTTAAACGCTTAAACATAGTGGAATTTTTTCAGGCTAAAGGACTTTTTTCAAAAATTTAATTTAATCAATGTTGAATCTTTCTTAATTAATCTTGAATCCTTTAAAATTATTTATAGAATCGAATTTATAGAATAGATACAGTTGTTGATAAATATTTATAAAATATTTATAAAATAACTAAAACAATAAATAAATAATACTAAAATAATTGGGTTATTATATGTCAAACAAATGGCTTAAAACCAGTTAATCTCGTTATCAAACAAGCACCCTGTTTACCGTACCTTAGTTAACAATAAAATTTAAAAGAAAAAATTGAAAAGACCAAGTGGTGCTGGGCACACATCTATATTTCAACCATCACGTGACTCTCTGCAAAAATTTTTTGTGTTATTCGAATAGATAGTGCTATTAACCAAACCAAAAATAGTAAGTTGAAAAGGTGGAAGAATTTTGAACAACAAAATTAAACGTCAAGTTAACCTCATTAAATTTCGAATCATTAATGTATGTTAATGTCGATTTTAATGTTGACTTTATATGACCACCGACATTAATTTTTATTATTTCTTGTAGATTTTGATTCATTCCAAATAAATCTTTATTTTTCTGAAATTCAAATATAAAAGGCAATTTATCTACACCTTCGTTCCCTTCGACCTTTGTTTTATTTTATTAAAAATTGAATAAAAAATTACAAATGAAAAAACTATTAAAAATTAGAGAATTAAGATTAAGAAACAAATATAAATAAAAAATAAATTAAGAGATTTTCCGGAATATTTGGAGCCAGAAACGATGAATCCACTAAAAGAATCAATTTATAGTTACAATCTGGACGAATAAAAAGCATGAATTTCTAAAAAAATATGATAGATGTAGGCCCCATTATTATTTGTCCTTATTTCATATTAAATCACAATATAAAATTCCAAATTATGAATTATGGCTATAAAATTGAAAGATCCAGTTTCACAGTGAAAAAAAAATGCTATTATATAAAGAATAAAATCAATGGGTTAGAAAGGATAAAAAGAAGTACAAAAAAAGAACAAGGTTCTCAAGGTTCTTCCGAATATTTAAATTAGGACAATTACTTATTTAAATTACTTAAATGGTTAGAATATTTTCATCACCTTCAATTAGAAAAATGAGAGCAGGATGGCCGAGTGGCACTATTTGGGCTGAAGTTAAGCACTATGGGCCCGACTATTGTTCCTTGACGCGATAAGTCTTTAAAAATATGCTGCGAAACAAATATGTGTAGCACTGCGAACTGTATTTTAATTATCAGGTGACTCTGATCTGTCTGATGGAGAGATTTCTAACATATCTCTAATTTTTAAAATATATAATATATAACAAACACTCTCTTGATTTTAGAAATTTGGAAATAAAAGGAAATAACCGGCTAAAAATGAAGAATTATTGATGAAAAGCCAGATTTCTAAAAAATCCTCAAACAGTAAAAATAAATCGATAGTGGAAATGAAAATCTTTTGGAAAAGTTCCATTAGTAGAATTAAATCTTAAGCCCTTTATATCATCATAATTTTCCATTCGACACCATTCTAGAACCTTAATAATTTCCTAGGAATCCTCCACATATCCAAAATCTTAAATCCCTTTAAAGACCTTTATTACTACAAAGTTGCAAGCTGAAAACTGAAAAAACGAAGGGAATATATTACGTCGAAACCGAAGAACTATTCGTCTAATAATAATCAAAATAATGAAATGAGAATAAATTCTCAACATGGATTTCACCCGTCAAATAAATGAAAATATTGATCGAAGATCCAAGCAAATGCATATTCTTTTTGGCTGCATTTATTTTTCTAGTTTACTCCTCTTTATACGAATAAAAATCGCCATTTCTAGCTTGGTTAACTATTAGCATGGGAGAAAGCACTATTAGCATGAGTTGGGCTCGAGCACCAACCAGATTTTAATAATAGGTTTACTTCTTTCACGTCTGTGGATCGATGAATCGAATCGAGCTTATCTATAATGAATGACCTTAGTCGAGAGGCATACCACTCAATTTTTGCACCTCATTAAAATTCCATCCAGAGAATTAAATTAAATTTTATTGGTCTTCTTAATTGATTGCAGTAATCCATTGAATAAATCCCAAATTATTGGCACTTGCTCTCCTTCATTTTCTACCGAGTTTCTGGCGATATGATCTAATAACTTAACCGGAAGAATTCACCGAATTTAGCGGTGGCGCAAATATAAAATATCCGACATTTTAATCCAACTTCTTATATAATATCCGCTCAAAAAAACCAAAGTTTTTCTTAAAATGGCACCCATCAAATGAGTAAAATCGTTCCATTTTTGTTATGTGACAAAAAATTCGACATTTTAAAACATATTTTAACGTCGAAAAGACCACCTTATTATTTTAATCGATCTGTTCGATTTTATTTAAATAAAAATGCATTCTTTTAGGCATTGCTTAATGAATTCTCAATTATTTTCAGTTAATTTATGGCCAAAGAATTTCCAAAAATTGCTTGGTAATCATCATTTTTCAAGAGATCCATATTTTGTTCTGTACTTCGCCCATTTCGATTTTTTAAAATATCGCCTTATCGCCTTTTTCTTAACCACAATTGATCTTCTTACCACAAATTTTCAGTTTTTGAATATTTGCTTGGCCCAAATTATTACAATTGTTTTTCTTCTTCTCATGCACCATTATTGCTTTGGCTTAATCCATTGACTGCTAAGACGAAACTCTTTCACCAGAGTTAGAAAGGGGCACTACACATATTCAAGGAATTTCAATGGGCATCAACGAGATTTAAACATTTTATAAAATATTTATTCATAAAAATTGATAATTTATTTCGTTTGTTTTCCTTTCATTTAAGTATTCCTTTACTGGAAACATCATTTTATTTTACAAAAAAAATATCAACAAAAAATTAAAGAAAAAATGATAAGATCATTTAAATGATAAAAAAACCATAAATAAACCATAAATACATAAAAAACCAATTAATTAATTATTTCGCCTCGTATGCATATGCAATAATTCCGTTCAAAATAACAGCATGAAGAAACAAGCGTCACTCTCATGAAATTCTAAGCCTTACGAAATCCATTCAACGGTAACGAAAGAAGTGTAACGCTAGAAAGACTCGAATCTGCATTTCTGCCCCTATTTTAATTAATATTACATTAAAAATTTAAATAATCTAAAGCCTAAACCGGTAAAAAAATAGTACCCAATAATTCATTAAAGCAAGTTAAAATTTAAAATCCTATCTCAAAGAATAATAGCAAAACCACAAGTACAAATGTGGGGGATGCGAATATACTTAGTATCACATCATTTTAAGTTTTACAGAAATTCGATGAATTGAAATTCTTAATCAAGATTCGTATATATTAAAGCGAGATTCGAATAAATCGCCACCACTTTTCCCGTAATAACTATCGATATGAATATTTTAAACCTTTAAACCTCAAACTTCAACAAATTTTATGATAGTTATTTAATGCAAAAGCACCAAATTATGGAAAATAATTTGTTAAATTAAAGATGAATGAATGAAATTTTTGAAAATAAAATTAATAATTACACAATTACCATAATAAAAACAATCAATATAATATATATGTATTGGATTTAAAAATATACTTATTATGAATTTTGAACTTGTTATGAAATGATCCCTTACAAATAAACTAAAAGATGGCATTACCACTTGCAATGACAACTCGGATATTCTATTTCATTCCCAGATTCCATAGAATAAATTTTGAAACCAACATTACGATTAATAACAGCCAGTTAGATAAATTTTAGGAATAAATGCTACCATATACTTAAACCTTATCCTATTTATTCATTCATTTCATCCTGTTTATTAAAAATTTAATCGAAATTAATTATTGAATATTTTTTTTCAAATCAATTAATAAATTTTTGAAGCATTGTTTTAAATTATTTCGTAAAGATTAAATGTAAAATTAGCTGAAAAAACCACCAGCTTTAAAGAAATGAGCAAAAAATTTCGGTAAAGTCAGAGGTACTTAATAATATTTATGAAGGTAACAAGTAACTTAGGCAAATCACAGACTAGTTCGTTCATAGTGCACAACAATTAACTTTAAAGAATCGTCAAAAAAAACCTGGAATAGCGAAACTAAAGGAAACCTTCAAATATCGACATGAAGATAACGACAAGAAAAATCTACAGATTTTTTTAGAAAAAACTCAAAAAAATGAATTAATCGATTTAAGTTTGATGATTTTGATAATTTTATAAGCACAGAAGAAAAATTCTTAAATTCAATTTCAAACAGAGATTACACCAAAAAAAAGCAGTTCGAAAATCCTCCTTTCGTTCAAACATTCCTATTCTTACTTATTCATCAGCTAATTTTATAAAATTAACTAAAGTCAAAAAATATTACTTTTTCATATTTTGGAAAGATAGACTGAAGATGAAATAATTTTATAGCATTTTTTAAAAGCCAAAAGCCTATATAAAAGCCAAAAATATCTAATAAAAAATTGCAAGAAATATTCCTCAATATAATTGTGAATGTCAAATGATTTTCTTGTGTTTTACAGCGATTAATCAACTAAGCAGTTGTTTTTTGGACATTTCGAAAATCCTTGAAATCTCAGTAAAGATAATCAAAAAAATCCAAAAATTAAAATTATTATAAATCAGCAAAAAAAATTCATATAGCAAAAGAACTTGATAAAACTTTCAGATAATTCATTAAAAGGTGAACGAGATATTTCTTCGAAATACATTCAAACGTTTTCGAATCCAAATTGTTCATTTATTCTTATTGATATCCGAAAATCCATTTGTCACGAAATGCAATCTCCCTTCCAATAATCCATCCAGCTAAATGGCCATTTTTATCAACGGATTCAAGAAGCTTAGAGCTTTAGAACTTTCTGCCGTCTATAAATTACATTTTTTCCTATTTCTGATTATTCATTTTGTTCATATAAAAAAATGCTACCTTATTGTAACAATAAAAATTTACTTGTTGATAAAATGACGACAAAAGAAACGACACACGAAAAAAGGTTAAAACCGATCCATTGGATGAATTTCATCGCGTCGCATCAGATTTTCAGCTAATAACGATTCATAAAATGCTTTATTTATTAACCTTGGATCATTCATTTGTTGGTGTGCATTGTTTAATAATGAATAAGGCAATAAATCGGATGCTAAAGGTGGTGCGTTTCGGATTTCATTCGTAAAATTTGTAGGTTCTCGAGTAACAAATAAATTAAGATTTGAAGCAGGAATTAAAGGCGAAACAAACGAATTAGCATTCTGAGGAGAAAATGCATTCGATGTAGCAGCAACGGTAGCAGGCAAAACAGGTAATTCTTGCTGTATGTGTAACTGCTGAAGTGATTGGTATGGATTTTGCAATAAATTTTGCAACTGATATTGTTGAGCAACGAGTTTTTCAAGCAAATCGAAATATGAACTATTTAATAATGATGTAGCTGCAGATGATGTGAAATTTAATGTGTCTAATGAAGATAGCTTTAAAAGATTTGTAAAACCTATTTTATCAATATTTTCATGATTTGACAAGAATGATGTCGAATTTGGCTGTAACACCACATTTTTATATATAGAGTCCACTGTTGACGCACTAAATGACGACTGTGCAGCATCAGTACCAATACTAAGAGCCTGTGGTGCTCCTACTTGAGGACATTCCAGAGAAATATAAGGAAGTGCAGATCTTTGAGAATCAATTCCAACTAATGATGGAAATTCTTTCAAATTTGGAAGTGCCTGGTGTCGCTTAGAATTTTCTAATAAGCCTCGCAATCCATATCCCTTATTATTCGAATATGTCGTGAAAATTGATTCATTATAAGGCATTAATTTCGTTCGTAATAACTGCTCATTATGACTGTGACAGCTAGCATGTGCAGGTACTAAAGCCTGAGACTGATTTGTCATGTTTATCAAATTTTGATCAATAGCATTGGTTTTAGAATTTTCTAGCGCATAACTTGAGGCGGAAGGAGACTCATCTGAAAATTATAAGTTGTACTGTTCTGAATTTAACCAAAAATAACTTTAAAAATATTAACTTTATGAATAATCATAAAAAATAAAAATTTATAAATTGAATTATAAAGAAGCAATCGATCGATATCAAGCGACGATTTTTTCTAACTAATTTCGTGCATTATGCTAATTTTTTTTCAATTAATTCTATTTAAAACAATAACTTAGTGGAGTAAAAATGATTATGAAAAAGCACTTGTTGTTTCATGAATAAGATTTGAATCGAACGCCACAGTCGGCCTTTCCATATCAAAAACGCGAATTTTTTTTGTTTGCGATTCATCGTTGGCTTTCGACTTTTCTTCCTGCAAAGATTATCAAATTTCGATAACAAATAAAAATATATTTACTGATGCATATCCAAGCTTAGACACGATTACATACCACATTAATTTGAATCGTTGTAATACCATGACTTGTATTAATTGAATCCTGAGCACGCTTTATAGCCGTTCTGCCATTTATTGGCTTAACTTGCTGAATAACTTTTTTGCTTCCTAATTCCAGTAATCGGTTATCTTTTTTTATAGCGAAGTGATTCGTTTTGACAGATTCATCGATACCAGTTTTACGAGTTGGACATGAATAATTCGTAGCAATGAATTTAATCAGAGATCCGTTTGATATTTCTGTTTGGACAGCGTCTGCTTCAACTGACTTCAAATCCTTTGCAATTGAGCTGCAGCTATGTACTCCGATAGGTTTCATAGTTGTGATTTGGCGATCCAAACTGTGAAACTGATTTTTTTTTTTCATTTCAGGCTTATGCAAGTACTCCATTTGAGTGTTTTCATAGATACCAATCATTGTGCGAGATTTTAATCGTGAAGTTGCTGCATCAGTAAATTCATTATTATTTGTGTCAGCTGCAACTGATGATATTGATTCTCCTCCAAGCGGTTTCTCTTGCGATGAAAGTATCTTGAAATTTTCATTCAAATCCTTTCCTGGTGGATTTTGCTCTAAAAAAGAAAATTATGAAAAATAAAAATTTTTTTAAAATATTTTAAATTTGATAAATCTCCTAAATATTTTAAACAAATATTGTCATCAAGGATAGTACTCAGTGGAAGAAAAATTGTTCATATGCTTCTTCCTTCTTTATTTCCAGTCTTATTTTTCTCCTCTTTTGTTTTCCTTCTTTTCTTACCTCAACTCCTCCAGTGAATTAATTCAGCATTTATATCTATGGTAATGTGCATGTAAAGGTCTAATATGAAAAAAGAAAATTATTTATAGAAGAAACGATGTGGATGATAGAAATGTTCGGCAGATTTGATAAAAATTTGCTGCCAGTTTAATGCCAGTTGTAGCCAGTAAAATGCCAACCCTCGGCTGCGACCATACAATAAGCAATAATATGCAGTAATGTGCCAAACTATTGACCCACATCCTCGAGATCTGGTACTCTTGTCTTTTTTTTGGCTACCAGAGCAGAATAACCATAAGGACTTCTATTCAATAATTTACCTTTATTACCCATCTTATATCTTTCACACTTTTAAGTTCATTACGGGTTTTTCTATCAGTTTGCATTAGCGATGGTCCCACATAATTCCACTGGCTCTTATATATGGGCCTTCTTAACATCTTTATGCCCTCTCTTTAGCTTCTAGAATTTTAAACAAATATTGTCATCAAGGATAGTACTCAGTAGAATTTGCCAACAAAAAATGAGGCATGTTGTTATCCAAATAAATTAAACTATTCTAGCCTATTTTTTCGAATATTTTGATATTTCGGATTAAAAATATCTTTTTGTGGCCAAATAAAACAAATATACCTTTTTTATCACCAAAATTATACCTTTTTTATCAATGTGTTGTTCTTCAATGAATGTTGAACCAATACTCGTTCTGGCATGGATCTGATAAGGTTTCATTCGTCTAAATTGCACTGATCCACTTAATTTCTGTAATTTAATCAAATAAATACAATATTTTATATTCGTTCATGCTTTGCTGCCTGCAGTCGATAATGGATTCAACAAAACAACCATATAGTAACTTCCTGTCAACAAATAAAGAAATAAATATTAGCTGATAGGTCCAAAATTAAAGTATCAAAAATATCACAAAGTCTATTTTTAAAGACACTAAATAATGCTCGCTTAAGCATGCATCCCTGGCTTATCAGAACAAACAAACTTAGCTGACAGACTATTTAGCGATAGGAGTACAAGTGAACAGTCAGCACTAATTGCCAATATTTTAAGGCCTAATACGAAAAAAAAGTAATAGCAAAACCGAAAAAAGGTTATGAATTAAGAATGCAACACAAAACAAACAAACAAATAAAAGATCCAAAAAGTCACCAGAATTCCTCTAAATATGGACCAAAAAAAAGAAAACTGATCGCTGAATCCATATTGAAAAACAATAGGGTGAGTGGTTCGAAACATGTTTAATTAAAGAAAAAACTTCTATAAAATGTAAGGAAAAAATTTTTAAATGGTTTCTTTATATTTGAACACGGCTATCCGAATCTAATAATAAATTAAATTGTGCTATCAGATTTGATGCAGTGATAAAGGAACATCGAATAACTAAATGATCGATTAAGAATCGATCAATACAATCAACTGGAAAACTTATAAAACAAAAGTGCCTTTTTAGCTGCTTATCATATTTTTTATCATTTGTGTTTTACAAATATTTCTTCGAAAATGATTTCTTTATATTTGAACACAATATATAATTCTGATAAGAAGCGATCTGAAGACAGAACGGTCAACAGTTACTTCACTTAAGCCATCACATGTTCCACTTATTTTTTAATGTATGTTACTACTGGAATTAAAACCCAAGAGATGCTAGAGGCCCACATATAACATAGGTTTTCTCAAAAATGAACGTTGAATGAAAAATAATATCGGTTTTGAACCATAGAATGTACGAATATACGGCATTTCTACAATAAAAAATTTTATTAATCAAAATTTTATCACCATTATAATCAACATGTATATTTGCCAATAATAAATTTAGATACTTCGCCAGGTTAAAAAAAAATCCTAAACAAAAATTTCTATGAATTCTTCGAAGGCAATTTGGGTTTAGTTTGAGAAGACCTCTAGCGTCGAGATATTTAAAAAGTGGTAACCAGTGGTAAAAAGTGGGAGAGAGATGTTTAGGAATGAGGTGAGGAATAGCCCAGTTCTGCAAACTTCTACAGAGTCATTTGTAAAACAGAGTGATGTGGATCCGTCTTGTAAGCAGAAGGATCGGCCCTCTTAGACAAATCCGTCTGAAACGTTGTTTTTCGTGAATTTTGTCCATTTCATGGTAATACGTGGTTTTTGTCCCAATTCAAGAAGATGTAGTGGATGATTTCATTTACTGAACGTTCCTAAAACCTTCTTTTCATGCAGCTTCATTTCGGTGCATCTCTGTCCAACCCCGTCTAAGAATACTTTTGCTTCTCGAATAAATTTTTTATCGTAGTTAATAATATGACCAAAAGATGATCGTTTTGATCGAGTAAGAGCAGCAAAGCACAAACTTTGCAACAGCGCATTTTTTAATTTTCATTCAGTTCATGTGGCATTTTCTGAGTTTTTATGAGTTTCCAATTAACATTGCAAACTCCATCAAAATTCCCTGCAATAGCCAAAAAAGTGTAATTTTCCAAAATGGAAATGCATGACGACATTTAAAAATTCTCTTTAAAAGTACGCCAAAAAATCCAAGAACTTATCCAAAAAATTCCAAGAAATTGGTTGGGAAGCTCTACTTCATTCACTGACTTTATCTTTTCTGATTTGTTCAGTAACATATTTAGCTGGAAAAAAATTTCTTTTTTTCAGGATGTAAAGAACTGTCTGGAGAATGTTTCCAAGAGGACATATTTTCACAAAAAAATGAAAATTCGGGAAGAAAGAGTGGTAGAAAACGATGATGATGCACAAAACTAATCTTGAGCAGTTTTTAGATATTTGAATTGGAAAAAAAATATAATAGTTTCGAGAAAACCTATTGCTTATATTACCAAATGATCCTTTGGTGAATGGACATTACCCTAACAACTAATCAACCAAACAAACCAAACAACAAATGGTGTTGAGTGCTGTCGGACAATGAAAAGATAATGATAGTTCAAAGGAAAAAAACTTTCATGTACTTCTTGAATAAAATTCGATATAGAATCTTCAGTTCTCAAATGAAATGGGCCTAAAAATAATAAAAAAGATTTTTTTTTACTGGGGATCGTTTTCTCCAATATTTATAGAAAATTTACCAAATTCACATTTTTAATTTGAAACGTTAATAAACAATGGCTTTATTTATGTTATCAACGCATTATTACTGTTAAAAGTCAGACATTAATTCAATTAAAAAATTACGGGAAAATTCAATAAAACAGAAATATCTTAGAAAAATTGCAAATTTTTCACTCTTTTCACTCATAAATCGATTTTTATCTAAAATTAACGATAATTTCACTGCTTCCATCAATTTTTCCCAGTAATAAAATCTAGGAACTACTTATTATACCTTATTTTTGTAGGCAATAATAAATTTAGTTATATCAAAAGATCTATTATAATTCATCTGTTATTTAAGGCTTTTCGGAGCATTTACAGCCAACAAGTACGTCATTATAATCAATCACTGAAATAATACAATCAAACATAATAAAATACAATTCAAATGGGCTTTAAGGTAAACGAAAAAAAACCTTTGATGCATCACGAAGTGTTCGGAATTCAGGTGGAGAATGGCATAATTGTAATCGAGAACGGCCATCTTTAACTGATTGCCGTACGCGAAAAGGAACAGCACTTTTCCGACCAAGTTCGTATGTTCCGAATATATCTAAAAATACAATTAAAAAAATCCATGAATAAAAGCGTATTATATAAGAAATTAATTTCTGAATATTCATTACTGCTAATAATAACTAATGATAACAAACTCACTTCACTTCACTTCAACAAAAAATCAACAAAAAATATAAATTTTTACAAGTGAAAGTAATTTTGATTTTATTGCGAGTTTTCTCAGAAAACATTAAAATTTAATCAAAATTTAATCAAAAAACTAAAAACAATTTAATTAAAATCAGAAGAAATTTTGAAACGTTAATAAACAATGGCTTCATTTAAAAAATTGATCATACAGCGTTTTTTCTTCGTAGTAAAAATCTATTTTTTATCACTAAACAACTTTTAAGCAATTCGTCTTAAATTATCTTATCGTTATCTTAGAAAAAAATTTTGAAAAAAAACTTAAAAAATATATTTAAAAGGTCGAAGAATTTAAAAATGTTTAATTAATTTTAAAAAATACCCGCTAATTGAAGTAAAAATTAAAATCAGAAATATGGCAAAAATAAAACTTAAACAAGCAAATCTATCTGCGTAACGCGCGGACTATGGAAATTCACTTATTTTTTCCTTCAATGTGGAATATTATTAAGGCGATTCGGTTCGCGGTTAGTGGCAGTATTATCACAGAAGTATTATTACGTCTCATTAAAAGGGAAATCCCTTGACAAAGCGCTTCCATCGCCACTCCCGAAGATCGCCTCTCCCGCGGATCCGGCGGATAGCTAATTAAGCGCATTAAACAAAACATGAAGCTATCTGAATAAAAACAAGAAACAAATACAAATGAGAATTAATGAAAACTTAAGAAACGATAAGCCTAAGCTTTATTTATTTCGCCTAAATCAATACAATAAAGTTTAATATAGCTGAATATTCAGTGAATATTCTCGAGAATATGTTCCATTAATAAATTATTTAATTTCTATCATGAATCGCTCACGTGATTAATTGAAGAAAAATTTGAAAAAGTAAAATAAATTATCAGTGAATCGTGACATACGTGACTGACATACAATGTTTTCTGCTAAAAAAACTCATTTCCATAAAAACGCAGTCAATAAATTTTTTCCATAACTTATAATTGATAAAAACCTTGATAACAATATAATTCAATAATTTTTGACAGCTAATGATGACGGTTATTTCTCTCGCAAAAAACGCCTTTGTAAATGAATTAAGACAAATACAAAAAATTAGCTAAATCTTTAATTTACTACGTAATGAATGGAACCCAACAAAATAAAAATTTATTTCATTATTTTATTAAAGATGACCAAAAATCTGAAATTTCCATTCAAAATTTCCATTGAAATTAATCTCATTAATCTATAATCATATTAAAAAAATTCAATTAAATCTAAAAGCTGATCTACTGATAAAAGGTTAGAAATTTATAAATTCATCTATGATAAAACTGTTCTTTTTTTTACGAGTCACCATTACTGGTAAAGCTCGCTCCACTGACTTGTCGCATTGGACAATATGCTAGGGAGTCCCTTGGCGATAGAAATACAGGTGAGTCGCCAGCATCACCTGAAAATTTGCACAGGTTCACTCCTGCGGGAACCTCAGCATCGGCGTTCCCAATTGAGCAACAACCCACTGAACCATTCTATTCCCAATAAAATGATAAAACTATTCTAAGAATTAAAAATCACATATAATTACCTATTAATTCCACAAATAAATATCAAAATAATCTTGACAAACTTCTATAAAACATAAAATTACCATCTTTATACTATAAAAAACAGAAAAATATTTCTGTTATCATGAAAACGCTTAATTTGCTTTTTTATTTTTTATTTAATAATTTTTATGAGATTAATTAGAATAGTCGGCGATCAATCGAAACTGAATAACAGAAAATAAGAAATTTGAAGGTCCCAATTCTTTATTTGACCATGACCATTTATTTACTTATCATCGTAAAAGAAGCCTTCAAATCCTTTTCTATTAAAAAAAACTACAAGATGGAATCAATGTTTCCTTGCGTAATTTTTGAAATTACCTCAACTTGTCTGACCGCTTAAAAAAGGGCAAACCGACCTCAAAATTATCTTATGAACCAAGCATATACAAAAAAAATATTTCTGTTCATTTACGAAATCCATAAAAGAAAAATCCAATCAAAAACAAAAAAGTTGTAAAGTTTATATAAAGTTTATAATTTTAGTTAGTAGTTTTTTATAGTTTAAGTTTGTAAAGTTTTTTTGATTATCCACATTATTTGAATTATAAGCAAGGTAACTTTATAGCTATTATTTTAAAATCGTTTCTAAATTTCTAAATTTGCGACAAAAAATTTAAATATTTGTAAATTCGTGGGAAAACAACTATCATGCAAACTGATTTTGTTAAATTATTATTCAAAAATATCTTAAATGCGAATTAATATGAGTCATCTGTTATGCAAAATTCTTATTAAAACTTTTAATAATAGAGCAAACAAAGCAAAGCACTTTTTGGAGAAGGTGGAGCACTATGTACGAATCGAGGTATATTCAGCAATTTGTTATCAGTCCCAATATTTGCAGCTATTTTTTCTTTTCTCGTATCATTCGAATCAAGATCTGTAATACCAGTGCATTATAATTAATAAAGTAGTTCATTCATTTGATTTATAATTCATTCAAATATTTAATTACAATTAGTTAATATAATTAGTTAAGATAAAAAATTCGAAATTTCTGTGCCTTATTCATACCCTCTTGAGGAAAATTCATGAAATAATAGCCATGGAAATGGTAGGACAAATGGTAAGATAAAAGGTAAAAAGAATGTTAAAGAAAGAAACGACCAATACCGCATGGTGAGAAATTTTAAAATGTTAAAACGAGCGATCTACAAAAATTTGGAAAAAAAATTTGATGGTTTAATAAAACATCAAACTTTCACGCGAATAACAAGATAAAATTTAAAAAATATATCGACCGAGTCAATTTTACACCAATTAATGCTGAAACTAACCGACAGAATAAATGGTTTCTGACTTTCGACACCCATTAATTGCACTATTCAGCATTTCCATTTTAATTAAAGCTTCAGGCAAATGACAAAACACCTTCGATGCTGCTACTAAAGACGACGAAGACGGCGGTGGCGACGATGACGATGATGAGCTTGGCATCGATTTCGAACAAAATTCTTTTCGAATAATACTTTTTGTATCCATATCTTCTACTAAAAATAATGAATAACACATACACTCGAACTTTTGCTACTTTTCTTGCTTCGATTTTGCAATTAATGGAAAACCTAAATTCTAAAAGTCACCCTCAAGACAATCATGAAACGGAAAGATAAATAATACAAGAATTAATGAAGAATTAAAGAAAATAGAAGAAAATTAGGGAAATACCTAAAAAAAAATTTTGACAAAAATAAGGAAAATATGAAGAAATGATAATTCAGTATTCACGAAAAAAGAATAAAAATAATTTCATCGGTGCACCTATAAAACCAAAATTTCTAGCAATTATTTCAGCCAGAAATTTATTTATCAATTTTTCTCTTATCACAAATCTCCCAGAGAATTTAACCGAAAGAAGGAAAAACAAAATTATTTTTTAAGGAATATAAGAAAGAGAGAAAAACAAGAGAAAGGATTAATAGAAGAGCCTTGTGCACCTTATGAATATCTATTGATTATTATCGATGAAGCATTAAATAATTTTGTAAATAAAAAACAGAAAAACTCGAATATTTCTACCTATCAATTACATACCAACTAGTTATAAATATAAGTAGAATCTACGAAGATTGATTCAGTCAATAGTCGAAACGAGAAGAAAAAATATAGTTCACTGAATAAAATGTTTGACGTATGTCTCTGACAACAACGATAAAACTTATGATAAAGTCGATAATTTGTTCTCTCTAAGAATCTCGATTTAATGCAATTCGCAAGTAAGGAGAAAGGGACGCATACTCTGTTCTGAAATTCAATAAAAAAAGTTGTTGACAATGATGGGGAATTGCGTCCTTCACAAAACTGCCATCGACTGCCATAGAGGGTGCAATCGACAGCAGTCCCAATAATAAAATACTGCAGCTATTAATAAAGAATTTAATAAAGTAGAAATGGCTGAAGAGAAATTCAAACGAGCAAAAAAATCTCTCAATATTCAAAATCAACAAATTTTCAACTCCGATATGTGAATTTTTTTCTCAAAAGGAATAAATTTGATCAAAAATTTTAGACGATATTGCCCGAAATGCCTTTCCGAAACATTCCCTATTCCATTCGCGGGGAGCCTACAATGTTTTTACATTTTCATTTTTATAGCATCCATTATCGATAAATACCCAGAAAGTATTTTTAAAAACTTTTTCTTGTCAGATGCGTCGATTTTTGGTCAGATATTTTGAATGCATACAAATAAAATATATAACAAAAATGATAACTAATAAATAAAAGAAAAAAATAAAAACTAATAATAGCTGTAATCAGTGATCTCTTTAGCTTTTTTTCCAGAAATTTTTAAGAAAAAACAAGGAAATAGATGAAAATTGGAAAAAATAATTCCAAAGAACTTCTATTGCTCTTAATAACGAATTGTTTGCGGTAAAAAGAGAACAAGGAAATAAAAGTAGAAAAATTACATAACATACTTATTAATTCATTAGACACAACATTTTGAGCTTTCATTTTTTCTGCAAAATTTCTTTCTTCACTTATTGAATGCTTCATCGATATTGCTTGATTGCCTGAAAATCTTAAATTAAGAAATTAATCATAGACGCTTAAAAAAAAGTTTTTTTGAGAGCATCTATGCTGATTTCAGTAGCTCAAGTATGCGCTTAAGACTGGTAAAAAATATGACTAAAATATAGCTGAAATGTGATGGAATAAGTTTTTTAGCAATTCATTTTAACTCATTTTTAAATTCAAATTTAATCTCTCCTGAGTTTTTTTTTATCTCAAAAATTTTTCGATAAAATAAGTAATTTTAAATTGATAAAATTTTCTTTTTAATCTAAAAAAATGATATTACATTGAATGATAGATTTACTATCTTCCACCTGAAGAATGTTATCAGCGCAGTCATTGGCATTCGAGCACTTTAAGTCCACAGTTATACTTTCAAGACAGCCATCGCTTGAAATAAAAAAATGAAATACCCATCTATCAATTAATCATATCCAATGAATTTTGAATAATTTCTCAACAAAAAACATAGCAATAGAAAAAACAACTTCAGCCTACCATATTAAAGAAGCGTTATATAAAGTACTCATCACATTTATTTTTCTATTTTCATTTTTTAAATGAAAAACAAGAAGAGAGGAAATAATGCTAAGGGTTATAAAGGAAATACATGGAAAGGCGACTAATTTGACGGCGATCGAAAAATTCAAAACAATTCGTTTTGCAAAATAAAAGCAAATCATATTTGTTACCCTTTTTGCTCACAAAAGACCTCTGATAAATTTTCTGATGGCTCATGCAATAATGATTTTCTGCTCACATCCGATGCATTTCTTTCCATTCTCCAAAACAATTTCTTCGAAGAACCGCTTGCCTAAAAAAAAATTAAGTTGAATTCATAAAAAAACACAAATTATAATTATATTATAACAATTATAATTTATAATAAATTATAAATTATATTCATAATTTTCTTACTGCACTCACCGTGTTTGATTTATTTCACTGACCATTTTGATAAGATCCCTTCGCAAGGTATTCACTTAGGGGTATAATTGCAAACGGTCCCTTAACACAGCTCAAATTTCATTCTAAATGACAGGTTTACTCCACACGAGGAACTCAAAACTATGATTGCTTGGCCTTAGCGGAAGCAATATACCACTCAACCATTTTATTCCTTAGATTATTTTCTTAATTCTTCTAGTAGCAAAAAATCGTAGTTGAAAAAATTTTTTGGTTAATAATGTTTCGAAAATTAAATTCTTCCATTCCTTCTGACCATAGCGTGGGTATTTACTTTCTATATACTCAAATATGCCATCCATACTCACTTGTTTATCCGACAAATTCTTCATTGCTTGAAAACTCAACTTTGTGGGAGAATACACTGGCTTTTCTTCTTGAATTGACTTATCTATAAATACGGAGACTGATTAATAAAATGAAAAAAGAAATGAATCCTTCTTGGCTTTAAAATTTAATTTAATTTATAAAAGACACAAAACATTCGCTGACACGTTCGCTGAAAAATTCTTAAATAAAAATAAATCTTTGTTCAATATTTATATAGTGAAATGAGAATCAAGCGAACAAAGTCAACCAAAAAATTGCAACCCTGAGGTATGCTACTGAATTATTTACTGGAAATCGGCTAAAATTACAAAGATAAAATGATTAAAAAAATAAAAAAAGATTGACAGCCTTATAAAAAATAAAAAGAAGCAACATTAGCAAATCTTTATTTTAATAGCTGGTAATTCTGATGAAATAAAATTGTATATAAAACAATGAATGTTGCAAATTTCGATAGTAAATTCCTAATAAATAATTAATGATTTTATAACTTTTTTCATGAAGGATTAAATTAACTCTATGATTTTTTTGCGATTTTCAAGGCCTACAATAACAAAACGCTGTTTCCTTGAAATATTATTTGAAAAAATTACCATCATTATTCAGTTCATTATTGATAGTACCATTGCTAGAATTCGACATATCACTGAAACATCAAAAAATAAATATCATACTTTATATTTTTTTACTTCTCGTATTTTTTACTTAGCTTATTGCTGAGCCATTCGGTTCCAATAAAAATTTAACAGAACCGTGAAATAATAAGAAAAATTCTATGATAACATATAAATAAATGAAACAATTGATGAAGGAAGCATGAGGAAGAAATGAGGATAGCCCATTCGGACAATTTATAGTTATTTCGATTGGAGGACCTTAAAATTAAATATTATTGGCCGATTCTATATCATTCATAAAGGGAAAACGAAGGAATTATAAAAATGCTAAATTTTTTATATGGAAATATCACAATAGGGCCCTAAGGGCTTATTGAGAGGTTGTTCTAATTTCGATGCGGAGTTCTATTCGCGGCAGTAGTTTTTCGAAAATCCAGATACTGGCAGCCCGCCATTTCTAACGCTAAATGTTTCTCTCCCTGCCAAGATTTTTCTAGCCTGACAAACCAGCATAGCTAGAAATGATGAATGCGCTTCAAAAAAAATCTACATATCAGCAAAAAAGTGGTAAAAAAAATAAAATCCTAAAATATTAAGGACACCTTATGTTCGGTAAAGATTGACCTATTGAATCCACACAATCTGAAGTCGAAGAAGAATTAACACCAGCAATATTACTACATTCTTCTGAAAAACACCATCATAAAAATTTTTAAAAAATTGAAATAAAAATGAAAATTTAGAAATTAAAAATCAAAATAACAAATTACCATAAAATACCAATTAAATTATAAAAAAAATATTTAGAAAGAGTTCTTGAAAATTCAAGAAAAATAACAAATATCACCAAAAATATTTTCATGGATTGGTGCATTGGTGACATATTGAATGCATTCTTTTGATAAAGGCCATTCCATTGAACGAAACAAAAGAGTTTGTGATGTGGATGGAAAACGAAAAATACAACTGAAATTGAAGATGATCTTTTATATTATTTTTATATTAAACTATCAATAAGAAAAAGAAACAAATGAAAGTTAACCATCAATAATTAAGTATTTCACATTGATAATAGTTATCATTACAAAAGCCTCCTTTTTTGGAAAAAATGCTCCAAGGATGAACAAAAGTTTAACTTATGCGTTAACATAACATAAATGCAATCGTCCTTTAAACACGTAAATTTTAAAAGTATTGAAGAAATTTCATAGAGCAATTACTTATACAAAATTAGAAAGATTTCAGTTCTAAACTTTTCGTAATTTTGTTTTATTGCTTCCTTAATTACAGCATTAGAACATCAAAAATCTACTTATTGAATTAATAAAATTTGGTCATTTTGGAAGTCCAAAAAAAACAAAAAATATTAGCAAAAAAAATTAATTTTTATAATCAGTATTTAGTTTTTAATTAATTATTTTTTATTTTTATAATTATTATTTATTTTTGATTAACTAATTAAATTAATTTTTAACTAATTAAATTATTATCTAACAAAAGGAGAGATATCTGAGAATTAAAAAAGATTTATCTAAACTAATAAATGAACAGTCAGAGTTGTTCATTTCATTTCATTTATCAAAATAGAACGAAATTGATAAATTCATGAACTATGAGTAAGTAATTGTAATAAGTCGATTTCAATATGGTTGGAATTGATAAGTGAATAGTTTACGTTATTAAATTTACATTATAGAAACGCCACTTTATGCATGAATAATTCATACAAAATTCGAGTATCAATAACTTAGTGTTGAATTAAATTCAGAAAAACTGAAATGAACTTCTTTTCAAGCGTGAATATTCAATGCTTATAACTATCATAAATTGAAAGCATAATAATTTTCATTAAAAGAAGATCCTTGCCCCCTTAGTGGTCTTTTTCCTTTCAGTTTCTGTCACCTCTCGCTTAAATTTCTTTTTTTATTACCAATTTTTTGTCAAAATATAAAAAATGCGGAAGAATGAAAAAAATATATTTAAAATCATTCTGCAGTCAAATAATCCACTTGTTAATTTCATTCTATGTCATTCATTCGGTTATCTGTTGTTTAAATCAGTAATTTGCAGAGTAACGGAATATTCCCGAGAGGATATGAAAAAATCTAGAAAAATGGAGGGTTAGGTAGAAAGATAGAGGTCATCAGGGCAAAGAGACAACGCTAAGTAGAATATCTAATTTCGACAAAAAAATTTATATCCCACATGAAAATCCTAATATATAAAAATGATGAAGAATAACATGGAAGAAAAAAGGAATAATGAGAAAAAAGGTTATATTTAAGGAATTTCTAGGCAAATGTACAAAAATTTGTTATCACCGCGCAAACCTTACACTAAATTCCAATTTCCAAAGCAGTATTACATTGTATATTCAATATACTTCAAATTCACTCTTTTCCAAATTGTGCGATTTTTTCCCACTTCACAATTCACTTTTCACTTTTTTGTTTTAAGTCTTTCCTTGCAAACGAAATAATTTTTCTTAAAATAAAGAAAACTAAACTTGTTGAAAATTTAAAAAAATTTTTTTATTGCAACAAATTATTTATAGAAAAAACAGAAATTTCTGAAGAACAGAAGCCACAGAGCTGAGCAAATTTGCAAGAGAGGCTATAGAAGGCCATGAGGCAAAAGAGATAGAAAACCACAGACTTAAATTACATCTGATAATAGTAAAGATGTCATTAAAAAGTCCAAGTATTTGCCAGGGACATTGTACTTCTTAGATGTACTTCTATAATGGAATTCTCAGACCGAAAGTGGTCCTCAATAGCTCAAGCTTAAATACTAACCACTAATTAATTATAGGCTAAATATCAATTCTTACCGAAATTCATCGGCCAAAATAAGATTTTGAGGTAATTTCAACTAAAAAAGAATAAATATGCGCTGAATCAATCGAATAAATATATCCATAAACGAATTTTTAATTCAGAAACTCATTTCCAAAAATATCAAGCAAATACTGCAATTTTAAAATATTCATATTCATTTGAATATTTCCGTACAAAAATACCACATTCCGAAAAAGACTTATAATGCTGATAAATGAAAATCGATGAAAAAGGCCTGCTTTCTCATTTGGATCCCAGGATCCCAGTGTCTTTTCACTCTTCACACCTTTACATAGACTAATTGCTTGTTAATTAGGCTCAATTTGATGAATTCAACATATTGATCTTTTAAACCAACATGATTAACGATCTTTGAAACAAAAAATAAAAAACGAACTTAAGAGGGATATCATAAGATTCATTGTTGCTTTTATATAATTTGTCATTGATTAAGATTCCATTTTTCCCATTTACTTTAACACTCCAACTTCTATATTTCTCCAAATAATATAGTAGTAAATGACATCTGCTTACATAACTGCTTTGCTGAAAATATAAGAATGTTAGCAAAAAATGAAGAAAAAGTTCATAAAATATTTATTTTGGCTTTTATTAGCAAAATTATCACTTTTTTGCCTTTTCACTTTTTTTTCTAAAAGCACATTGCTGGCTCGCCTCGTCTTATCGGATCAAAAAATTTTGCCAAAAAGCAATAGAAATAAAGTTGAGTCTCCAGCACCACTTTTTGAATGATAAGTTTACTCAGGGCGAGCGTGAAAATTGAACATCTGCAAACAATTGAGCAACAACGCACTAAGACATTTTATCCCACTTTGCTTCCGCTGTTCCGCGAAACTTCTGCCCAATCAAGTGGTACCTTCTCATTCAAACAACTTTCACTGGTTAGGCTGGCTCCAAGAGCTACAAAGGTAAGACGTCTCCAAGCTGCTCTATCCGACGCCATTGCTAGTAGCAATAGAAGTCTTTTCTTTTTCCATCGTCCAAGTCCATATATCGCTGGTCACCCTATATGTTCAAAATCTTTCCTGACCGTATCAATCCAAGTCTTGATTGGCCCTCCTCGCTTTCCAATCAATCATCACAGGGCTTAGGAAGTAACGAAATATGCGACAAATGGAGCCCTAAACAGCGAAGGCGACGCTCTATGATAAGCGAAGATGGATACAATCATGTGCTATTTTATCTGCTCGACGGATGCATCTTAGGCATGGCCAAAGGCTAATAGCTTTTTAATATCTTTCACTCTCATTGGCCATGTTTCGCAGCCATATAGCAAGATCGAGCGAATTGCAGCTATATGGACTTTCGTATTTTTAGTTTTTATGGTGGTTTCGCGACGGTTCCATAAAGTTTTCATCAACCGAAAAACATATTTCTATCGAAATCCGGGTTGCAATTTCATCCTTTGCCTAGCCATTTGAGATTAGAGTGGATCCAAGGCATTTTAAGTGAAGTACTTCCTGAAATGGCAATGAATTGATAAAAAAAAGATGTTTTATCAGCATCTTGTATATAAGACGAAAACACTCTCGTTTTACATTGGTTTTGAGTCCAATTCTCGCTGCAGTTCTTGACACATTGAAAATGCATCCATTAAAACTATCAGCAAAAGGAACTACATCATCAGCGTATTCAAGGCCTGTGATGCTATGAATGTAAGTGAATGAAAGTGCTCTGGACTGATTCGCGCACCTCTTGAGTGCCGAAAAGCGACGCCCATTATCCAGTCTATAGTATAGTTGAATATTGTGGGGGGAAGGATACAATCTTGACGGATATAAGTTTTTATTTCGAAGAAATCTGTCAGTTTCCCATACAAACCTGCGCCAAGGTATGCTGATAAAATGCCTTTATGAGCCGAATGATCTTCTTTGAGACATTCGTCACATTCCATCACTTTCCAGAGCGTTACTCTATTAACTGAATCGAAGACAGCTGCAAAATCGACAAAGCAAGTGATGGGTAGTTGTCGGTATTTGAAGCGATGTTCCAGCATAATCGCATCTCGCGTCCCAGTCTAAATCCAGCTTGATTAGGACGCATTCTATTTGCTCTATTGCCATCAGTCTATTTAGCAGAAAGAAAGCGAAAATTTTTCCGGAGATGTCCATCAGATTGGTTCCTCAATAATTGTCGCAGTACATCCTGCCACCTTTCTTAGAAATTGGAAGCAGAATTGTTTTGCTCCAGTCTTCTGGTATTCTTTCTTTTTATCATAGCAGAGAATACATTTATTGAAGGTGGGTTATGAACGATGATGGACAACATTTGAAGAATTCGGCGCGGAGACCATCTTCTCCAGTAGTTTTATTGGTCTTAAGCTTATGGATTACAGAGATCATTTCCTCTTCTGTTGGTTGCTCATAGTTGCAAACGCAAGGACCGACAGGTAAATTAGTTATATTCGGGTGGATACATCAGTTATAACAGATAGGACAACGTGGTGATGATGAAGATAACAGTGGTGGTAGTAATGCTGCTGCTTGATAATAAATTTCGTTTTAAAATTCTCTCCTTGCTCGACAATCACTAAATGCTTTTTATACTCAAGAAAATTTTGTCCTCAAAAAATTCTTTCCATCTTCTGAGGCGATCCTTTACAGCTTTAATATGCATTCCATTAATATCCTGTACCATTTCACTGATACCTTCTCGAGCTATAATTACTTTGCGGAGAAGGCGAAATAGTTTCCAATAACCACCTATCTGAACCGCCATTTTCATGGCCATATCGCTTTAATAGCGATTTTTGCCCCGCCATACTGTTTTCGTTGTAATTTTTCAAAGCACTCCATGGTCAGGATCTTTGACGAGCAAAGAGAGAATTTTAAAAGAGTTGGACAGTTGCTTTTGACATCCAACTAGCGCAGTATACCATAGTGTGGAAGTGGTTGACTTTTGTAGGCATGTTTTTTTGGGACCAGTATCAAGCGCGATACCAGTTAATATGAACGCATAGGCAGCACAGTAATATACGGATTTATGAGGTTAAAAAAGAGTTTGCATTAGATAGGGAGAAACGCCTTGTCCTCGTTTTATTCTGGAAGGAATGAAACCAGCAATGGCGTACGCTAGAAGAAAATAAGCACCTCAATAACGAGATCAGTATTATGATTTGCAGTTTCCCTGCCGATAACTATTACATGTTTTGTTACTGCATATGATTTCTCTGGACCACGAATAACGGCCAGGAGTGGTGAGCCCTGTTCTCCAATCCATTTAACCTGTAAATAATTTTTACAATTTAAAGAAAAAAGTATTTTTCTTATTTATCTTAAATCTAAAATAAACGAGATATTAATAAATATTATTAAAATATTAAACGAGATATTAACGAGATTCAATATTAATAAAAAATTCGCAAAAAAAGTGTTCTAGCAAAGAAGATGAAGCATTTTTACTTATCTCTTCGATAGAAAAGAAAGAATTTTAAAAGAATCAAAACAATTTCGGAAAAAAGGAAAAATTTTTTTTCATAGTGTCATGTGAACAATGTGATTTATTGAACAACTGGATGCCTCAGGAGATTCATTCCTTATTTATAAGTTAATGCTCGAAAAAAGTCGCAGATCAATTTAAAAAATCATAAATTATCTCTTTAGTCGTCTATTAAAAAGAAAATTTCTGGTTAGGCTCGTTCCATTAGCTATTAATAGAACAATTATTTGGCAATAGAAGTGTAGATGCTATTCTTGCCGGTTCAAAATGCAATGAGCTCGAGATGATAACTAACCACACAGCTATTCTGCCTCAATCCTCTAACACGGTCATGTAAAAAAAGTAAACAATTTTTCCTTTTTTTCCTACCTCTACACTTTTCTCATTTCTTTATCTATTTTATCCGTGGCTTAGAATTTATATTTTTAATTCTTTCCTGTATATTAGGTTAATTTATTGGAATTAAACATTTCGAAGGTTAAATTTTTTTGACGAATGTAAAATTTCTTAATTTTGTATATTTGCATAAAGTTTTCTTTGAATTAACAAAAACTATCATAGTATTTAACATATTTATATTTACAATGGAAGTTGTATTGGCTGGTTTATTGAAGGATATATGTACAAATAGCAAATATACTCTATTGGAGTACCTTCAAAAATAAGAGTCAATTCTAGATGTGGTGTAAGAATAATGAAACATAAACAAACCCGCTGATTTAGTGAATATTCGTTGATCTGATCAAACAAATTAAACCCGCTTAGATTATCCCGAATGTTCTCCAAAAGATGACCCGTATTTTGTTTCATTTGCCTGTAATTTTCTATTTTTACAAAAAAGTAAAAAAAAAATCTTCGAAAAAATATGGCCCTTTCGAGATCAAATAAATGATATAATTCGACTCAACTTCTCCTAATTCGCTAAAACATAAAAGATTTATGAAAATTAATTATTAAGGAAATTTCTTTAAAAAATTTCAACATATCCTTCATACTTGAAAGTAAAATTAATAAAAAAATATATAATAGCATTGTTCTTCAATTTCAGATTTTATACTACCGATAAACAATGCCTTTCCCAAATGCCTTTGAAAAAATTATTTGATGGTACTTGAAGACCACAAATCAGAAATCAGTGATTAAAATCTCCTCACATTGTTGGAAGCCCAGTTGTATTTCTATTCCAAAATGGCTCTCTGACAAAAGAATCGCATCCTAATGGCCAGCGCGTCCAGGTAATTCAGAAATGGTAAGTGAAAATCTGGATTATCTTAGGAAAATTTACCAGCCAGACTGGTGTTTATTATCATTAAGCATTTCATAAGGCAAAATTCTTATAATCACCAACAAAGATGGAAAGGAAAAAATTAAAAATGTTAATCAACCAATTAACATAAGGTACGGGACATTTGTCGCAAAAATCTTTAAATCTCACTTCAAAATTCTCTCCCTACAGGCCATATTTAAACCGGAAAAACAAGAGTAGAGAATAACAAATGAGTCGAAAGAACGAAATGATAAAGCACGCTTGAAAATTTAGAAGCTAACAAATATTCGTAATTAATACATACTGTGGAAATGACTGTGTCTGTTGTTGTTGTATGGTTTTCCCCGTTGCTTGAACAAGCAAGTTGCTTTTTCCAGTTTCTTTCTCAATAGTTCCATCGCACAGACCATTTGGCGTCATCCAAGTTCTAAAATAAAAACAAACATTTCAATGAGTCAACATAAAGTGACATTTGTCGCAAAAATTATCGAAGTACAATGAGATACAAATTATTTGAGATTTAATTGTCATACGATAGCTAGATAGATCGTTTGGTCCAAATTTGCTTGTACTTAATCTATTTGACTTTTATCTTAAGCCAATCAATAAGTTGGCAATACAGTTAAGGTATAGTTGCGGCACGTAGTCTGTAACAATCGGTCAAAATTACTTTACTCATGCATAAATGTGTAATCGACAGGCCCACAATTGGCTAACAACCCAGTTCAATTGCATGCAAGTAATTTCAGTTCATTACACATATGTTTCAATCAATGAAATGATAAAAAACACTTTCGAAATAATTTCACTATAGTATTTATTTAATATTCATTTATTTATAAAGAAGGGTTAAACAGGACATATAGGCGTATAGGCGTATGCTTGGACGATGACGCACATGTAGGTATATGCTTGGATAATGACCTGAAAACAATCATATGCTTGGGCATTGACCTACTTGGAAAAGAAAAGCGATAAAACAATAAAAACAGTAGACCGATTTTCTCGATTAGCTCGATTTTTTCATCCTATATCTTATTTAAAATTGCCAGTATGCACTTAAGGAATGTGCATTAAATTCTCTATGCTTACCGCTATGCTCGATATCCCAAAATCTGGAAATTGTTTTATAACCTTTACTCGTCTTTCTTTTACCTATGTTAACGATCTATTATCTACGTTCGTGTTTATGTATGTAACTGCATGGAGATGACTGCGAGGTTATATATTTGAAAGGTTACAGAACACATTACTACAAAATGATTCAACAGCGACAGCTTTCTAGTAGATTTAGGGATGTAAGAGAAGAGGGATGAATGTAAGATTTTAAACATCAGTACAAAAAGTTCTGACATTCCATTAATTCATGTTGATAATATTCCATTAACACATATGAGGATAATATATCAGATCTTGGAATAATCGTTGATAAGAATTTAGATTTAAACTACAAAGTAGACTAATAACTTTTGATCAAACTTTTATCATTCCATCATTACTTTTTCAAATAAATATTTAACCAATTCATTGAACTGAACAGCAAATATAAAAACCATTTTTAAAAACCAATATTCTTCTTCTTCTAACAACTCTAACCAACACTGGCTTCAGCGATTACAAGGGTAAGATGCTTCCAAGCTGCATGGTCTGATGCCGACATTAATAGAAGCCATTCCTTTTTCCATCGTTTAAGTCCATATATTGCTGGCCCACTTATAGGTTCAAAATCTTTCCTAACCGTATCAATCCAGGTCTTGTTTGGCCCATCTCTATTTTGACGCCATCCATCACATGGTTTAGCAAGTAACGAAATATGTGTGTCAACTTCTGTGGTGGACGACGGAGAACGTGCCCTAATTATCCAAGGCCGCGGTCTGTGATAATATTATTAATGCAGATGGCACTTAAACGAAGGTGGATGCGATCATGTGAATATTTTATCCGCTCGACAAACCCGTAAGATATACCTTACATAAGAGTGGTCAAAGGTAGATAGCTTCTTAATATCCTCCATTCTCAGTGGCCATGTCTCAGAACCATATAGCAAGATCGAACGGCTATATAGATGCGGACTTTCGTTTTTATGGTGACTTCACGATGAGTCCAGAAAGGTTTTGTCAAATGGAAGAACGCATTTCTAGCTGCCATGATCCAGGCTATAGTATCGTCTTTTGCATGGCCATTTGGTATTAGAGTGGACCCAAGGTATTTAAAATCGGGCGCACCTCCTCGACCGATAATGAATTTACAAAAAGAAACTTCTTGTACATAAGACGAAAAGACTTTCATTTTGTATACATTGACCCTGACTTCTATTCTTGCTGCAGTTCTTGACACGTTATTTGGCATTTATATTTCGTCAGCAAAGAGGACTACATCACCAACGTATTCAAGATCTGTGAAACGCTTTGGACTGATCTGGATACTCCTTGAGTGCCGATAAGCGGTATCCATTACCCAGTCTATCGCATAGTTGAATATTGTAGGGGAAATGATGCAGCCTTGACGGACACCAGTTTTTATTTTGAAGGATTCTGTTAATTCCCCATATAAACAGATCTGCATCGACGTACGCTCATAAAATGCCTTTATGAGTCGAACGATCTTCTCTGGAACACCGTAGCATTCCATCACCATAACATGGTCAGTTTGATTAGGGCACATCCTGCTGTCCCGTACTTTTCCATAAGTCTGTTGAGTAAAAGGGAAGCAAAAATTTTCGCTGAGACGTCTAGTAGGCTGATTCCTCGATAATTATCGCAGTATGTCCTATCACCTTTCTTGAGAATTGAGAGCAGAATTCCTTTGCTCCAATCATTTGGTAATATTTCTTTTTCCCATACCAGAGAGTACATTTCTTGAAGGTATGTTATGAAGGACGATGGACAACATTTAAAAAGTTCAGATCGAATACCATCTTCTCCCGGAATCTTATTGGCTTTAAGCTTATGGATAACAGATACTAATTCTTTCTCGGAGGATCGTAGTTGCAAGCATATGTTTCAGAGAACGCATCAGTTATATCACGGGCGGCACAGACATGACGCTTCAAGGTTAAGTTTGACATCAAAGAATTCTTTCCATGCCATTGCTGTCTCTTACCATTTTCACTGATCGTTCCTCGAATTAAATTGCTTTATGAAGAAGGCGAAATAGTTTCCTATAGTTTCCTATTATCGCCTAATCGAGTCGCCGCCTCTATTCTTAAGGCCATATCACATCAATAGTGATTTCAGTCCCGCCGTGGCATCCGGCAGTCAGGATCACCTGACATTCGTGCTTTGGCAGCTTTTTCAGATAGTTGAGCAGTTGCTTCCGATACCCAACTAGCATATATTTCCTACTAGTACATCCTAGCGTGGAAGTGGCTGACTTTCAGAGGCATTCCTTTAGTTTGGACCAGTAATCATTTGCCGTTCCAGAAAAATCATTGATATTTGTATCATTCAATAATTAAGTTTGAAATGCGCTCACTGCCCTCGAATTTTTTAGTTTGAGATAGTTTAAGGATCTTGGGGGATGCTGTTTTCTTCGAGTTATGTCAGTTTTATGAGGATCTTGCTGATTATGTGGCTCGAACCATAACATGGTCAGATCCATGAAGATTACCTGTTTTAGCGCGGTAGGAACGACTATCCTATCTAGTACACAACTGTTCCAACGGTGACTGACTAAGATATAATTTATCAATCTGGTTGAAGTATTGGTTATCCGGGAAGTTCTCCGTAACTAGATGTTTTCTACTATGCCAGAAGCAAGTATTAGTAATAAAAAGTTCATGCTCTTCGGCATAACGAAGAAGGCGTTCTCCGCACTGGACCACTGGACCCCGATGCCATATTTGCCAATTGTAGAGGCATTATGACCTACGCGAGCATTCCAGTCTCCCCCGACTATGAGCATGTCATGTTTTGGTAGAGACTTTGTTAGCAGTTGAAGTTCCACATAGAATTTATCTTTATCATGGGCTTTGCCAGACATTCGCTATGCCATTTCGTCCCGAGTTATCCGAAGCACAACAGTGATATAGCCAGTACCTCCGCTCCGAGCCAGGATTAATTATCACTCGAGATCCGAAATAAGAAAGACAGACCTCCAATAAGCAAGCGATATCCACACGATATTTAGAAAGGGTGCGGACAGTGATCGCTTGGCAACGTCCATAAGTGTTCCACGCTGATACGGCTAAAATTTCGCCACGCGTGCAGAGAACTGTTCCCCTTGATAAGTTTCGAGCAATTACGCTGCGAGCACATTGTATTTATCAATCTTGGGATCACTTTAAATCCAGATTGTGCACTTATCCATCAGGCTGGGAGTACCATGCGCTGGGAGTATCGGGAGACGTGGACGTCGTATCAAAAATATCTGACCCCTTCACCACAGAGTCTTTGGGATAGAGATATAGGTGGGTCCACAGCAGCCATCCGGATTTTTGACAGGTTTAATCCTGCCAAAGACAAAAAATTAAATTTAAAGAAAATAATAAAATAGACAATGAAATTTTAAAAAAGTAAAAAGGCAATTAAATTTAAAAAAAAATATTTATATACATATATAATAAATATATATATTTTAACATCGGGAAAAATCTTTCATTTTCTATATATATACATATATTTAAAAAATAAAAATGCAATTAAATTTAAAAAATAATATATATATTATTTATACAATTTTATTGATCTGATTTATAATTTATTTAATTTAATTGATTTAATTTGATTTAATTTTAATTTATTTTATTTTAATCGTTTGGTAAAAAAAAAAGTTTAAGTGGACTTAGCTGAATTGTGATCAGAAATGATAAATAATTCACAAAAATAAATGGAGAATATTTTTTGAAACAAGCGCTCAACAAAAAAAAATTTTTTTTTTAAATATATCAATATATGACAGTAACATGCAAATGACAATAATAATGATAAATGTAATGATAAAAATAATAAATATAGCGAGAAATATGAAAAACAAAAGCGTTAAAGAATATTATTTTCTAAAATCGTAGAAGAAATAAAAAATATAGAAGGATTACAAATGATAAAAAATTTATGAAAATTATCACTAATGGACTGGTGCTAAAGGCCATTTCTATTTGACAATGTGAATTTTCAGAAGCAGAGTGACAGCGCGCATTGTCATGTTCTGTGCCTTGAACGAATAATATTTACGCTCACTCAAACAATTCCGGCGAAAAAAACAAAAGCAGTACTGAATACTTCAATTAATACAAATCTTCACGCAAAATAATTACAACAAGAATTATCGAATTTAAATAATGGCTCTGAAATTTAGGCCGAAAGAATATATTCTGACGAACCGGCGACCACTTAACGAGCAACTCAAAGATAGCAAAGCAAACGCCAATAATCTCATGAAAAAGCCCACTTTTCCCAAATTAAAAATAATAATCATATTTTTGAAGAAAATTTTTATTAGCTGATTAGTGAGGGAAATAACTGATTTGGTAAGGAAGATTTTAAGGAATCAAAATAAACATTTGCGTGCATTAATATTAAAATTGGCATTTGAGTAAAATTAATGGCAAAACAGATAAGAATACTATTCAAATAAAAAAAGAATCTAAGGAATAATTTTTTCAAAAACCTTTTATTTATAGGAATAATACTAGAAGCTTAATAAAAACTAATTTTAAAAAATTATTTCGACTGGCTTAAATCACTTAAAATGGGCTGAAATAGTATGGAAGAGCATCCGAAGAGATGAAACGGATTATGAAATTTCATGTTGGAAATAAATAATATAATGCACAAAAACAATAACTTAAACTGAAAACTGGAAATATAAAATTATAGAAAAAATAAAATAGAAATATTTTAAAGATGATTTTCATAATAAAAAGGAATGTTAATATTAAAATATATGAATATTAATAAAAAAATATTTTTACAATATTTTATAAGTTAAAAAAGGTTTATTTATTATTTAACTAATTAACATAACATATTCACTTAGTAAGTTAAAGCATTTCTATTTTATTAGTAAGTTAGTATTCTCGCTCGCAGTTATTACGATGAAAAGTTTTTGCTAGCGTGTTATTTGGGGATAGCGAGCTCTTCTGCCTGAGGCAAAATCTGAACCGTGGTCCTCGAGACAATAATCTATGCAACAATCACTCAGCAATTCTGCCATTCACATATTTATTCAAAAAAAACAAAAAACAAAAATTTAAACTTGGAAGCAAGTTTTTTAGAAATATTTTTTACTTTAAAAATAATAAATAGTAATAAGGAAATTTGCTTATTTTGTTGTTGCAAGTAAGGAATTTGCCGAATTTGAACAAAAATATTCATCGTTTAATGACAAACAACGATTTTAGTATGAATGACCAAAGTAAGAAAAAAATTTAAAGAAAAATTATTTGATCATTTTTTTAATTTTACCTTCATTTATTTTTTCAGCTTCATCTAATTCATTTCTCTTTACATTATTCATTTTTTATGCAATTGAATTCGATAAAATATTTTATTAAAAACTGTTACGATTATCAAAAAAATATTTTTCACAAGAAAGAATCTAAAATAATAATTAAAAATTTATGGTATCTTAAAAATATTAAATTTTTATAATTTTAATAGGTGGTATTTCCAAGTATTTATTTAATGATTAATAGTAATGATAAATAATATGATAATGATTTTAATAGAGATTAATATCAACCCACTAAAATAACTTAGATTATCATATCAATCGCAGCCCTTAGCAGAAGCAAATCTATTATTCAAAAAATGCGGATAGTTCAAGGGATTCACCAAACTGTATTTCTATTTTTAAGTGACCATTCGGCAAAAATTCGCGTCTTGTTAATTGTAACAGAAATATTATAGAGAAGTACCAACCAATTCTCAATATATTCACTAAACAAGAATGAATCGGAAGTTTGCAGTAATAATCGGAATATTGTTGACGAAAAAATGATTTTCTTTTCAAATTAATATAAATATTACAAAAAAATGGTAAAATTAGCAGAGAAAGTGGAAAGATAAATTGAAAAAAACTTCAGCTTATTCTTGGTATGTGTAAAAATTTTTTTCGTTGAGAAAGACAAAAAAAAATTTTTTCGCTTATTTCAATTGTCCCATTCGAAACATTGCTCAAAGATTAATGGTTGGCGCTCACCTTTTTGTATTTTGGCTCGCTTCTCTAAATGTTGGTATGTTGAGATAATTTTGCCCAAAAAGTGAGTTTGAGGATAAAGTTTGAGGCTGCAAGAGGACTTCCAGGACGGGGTTTTTTCAAATAACAGGCTTGTTTAGGATATGAACTTTGATGCTCGAAATAATAATCTGGTTTCGGCTATTCCACCTCCAGAAAAGTGACAAATTTTTAAGGAAATTAGGAGGATATATTTCTAAAGTAAAAAGTAATATTTTTTCTCCAAAATAGCTCGATTCGCTCCTTTTTCCATTCATAAATATTCATCTTTCTTTGAAAATACCTTTAAAAAGTTAATAAATTATGTAAAAACTATTAATGCGATACATTTTTTTGCAATCTATAAGGTTATTTTCGAAAAATGGAACCATATGTTGAGATATCTTTCTCTAAAAGCATTCAATATATCTGGCTTGATTGGTTCCGTCAGTTAGAAGCATCATCTATTCGTCAGAGAACCATTTGTGGAAAGAATTATGTATAAGCCA